GAAGGATGCGCAGAGTGACCTTGCCGTCAATGCCAGTCGCCAGAGGCGCGTAATAAGTATTGGAGAATGTCCCATCAAAGCCAACATTTCCAGACTTGGTTCGATCAACGAACATCCTCTTTGTGCCGAAGTCGTAGCCGATTCGTGTCTGTTGTGCAAGGTCAGAGGTTGCTCTGAGGAGGACGCCGAACTGAGATGAGGACGCCGAGTTCCGGTCAGAGAATGTCACCGTGATATCGAGGGACTTTCCAGAGAGCGGAATGGGTTGGTTTCCTTCAGCTACGGTGTTCAGAGCATTGGAATACGTTCCTGTCTGTAAAGTGGCCCAGTTGGCAACAGGTTGCTGGATGAGTGTTGGCCACCCGTTGATGGTCTTAAGTGACAGTTTCCGAGGGATCGACAACATGCTGCGCCATGGGGAGGTAGGAATATTGCTCGCGTATTGCCAGTTGTTCATCCAGGCAATGGTAGTGCGGTCTGCAGACGGAAGTCCATTGAATGGTGCCGCAGCATAGTAGTCAGGGCCCCAGTCCATCCAGTTGGTCCCTCGCGGCTCAGCGGATACATCCGAGAAGGATATTTCATCCACCAGGATATGTCCCCAGCCGGTCGTGCTGAGATCCGCGATTTCAATGACGGCACTCTCGCCAACCAAACCTGTGACGTCCCAGCTCTTTGGCAGGAGCTGTTCGCTATCACTGCCCGTGGCAGTGCGGACAACCTGGCCGGCGACCTTGAGGTTGATGCATTGCACACCTGGGGCGTTCCCGCCACCAATGAGGAAGTTGATCCACTTCTTGGTGATTGTGAAGGTGGGCGAGACCAGAGTTCCAGTCGTCGCATCGCCATTGTAGAAGGTGTTGACGTAGTTTCCGCGATAACCAGACACAACTTGCTGTCCCGTCAGCGTGCCCTGGGCCGGGCTCTTCCCAACAAGATCTCCAGTAGCGGTCCACCCGCGACTCGCAAAAGTACTGGTCCCATTGAAATCAAACACACCATCTCCACTGGGCGGGGGAGGTGTAGCATCCCCAGTGAAGGTAATCTCGTCAATGAGTATATGTCCCCAACCGCCCGTTTGCTGATCCACGATCTCAAGGACGGCAGTTTGCCCTATGTACTCAGTAACATCCCAAGTCTGTGGCAGGAGCTTCTCCTCATTGCGGCCTGTGGCAGTACGCACAGCTTGGCTTTGCCCCTGGATCTTCAAGTTGATGCATTCCACGCCTGGTGCGTTGCCGCCGCCAATGAGGAAATTGATAAACGGCCGAGTGATTGTGAAGGGAGGCGAGGTGAGCGTGCCGGTGGTCGAGTCTCCATTCAGGAAAGTATTCACAAGGCGAGTGCCAGTATATCCGGAGACGGTTTGCTGTCCGGAAAGGGTCCCCTGGGCTGGTGCAGCCCCGACTAACCCCCCTGTGGCAACCCAGCCGCGTGACGCAAAGTCGGCAGTGCCTTCGAAATCTTGGAACGTAACATCCCCAGTTGGTCCTGGGCCGGAGCCGGTGGCGGATGTCTGGGTACCAGTGCTAGTAGATGTCGACACGGATGTGGAGGTTGGAGGCGGATGCGGAGTGTTGGAGTCCGCAACGAATGCGGTTCCATTAAAACTGCCGACGATGTATTGCGTTCCTGAGCCGACAACTCCTGGTGGTCCGCCGGGGTTGAGTCCGATCTGTACAACCCACTTGGTCTCGGCTTCGTTCCCGTCGAGGGCCAGCGGGAAGATGCTAGGACACTCCCAGACACCCCCGACTGCGTTCATTGGGCCGAACTCACTGGTGTAGGTCCACTCCTTCAGGTTAGGCGAGGTATAAATGAGCAACTTGTGGAGTTGGGCGAGTGAGATGATTGAGACCCATTTCTGGGTTGGCTCGTGCCAGAATACAAACGGGTCTCGGAAGTCACGCCACTGATCCGCGTAGGGTGCTGGTGGGTTAAGGATGACAGGGTTAGCAGCATCGTAGGTTGTCCAGGTTATGCCTTCGTCGAGACTGTACGCAATGGATTGAGCCTGTTGCCCACCATTGACTGACTTGCCGCTAGGTAGATTGCGTGACCCGGGATACTAAGCAGAAGGCATTAGAGGTGCCCAGCATTCTAAGCAAGGAGCTCACAGGACTCACATAGGAGGTATACATTGCCACAAAAGGAATAGTTCCGTTTGTACCGAACCCACTCGTGTTATCGGTATCGGCGACAGCAGAACCAGAGAAGAACATCTCAGAGATGTTATCTGGGTATCCACGCGCAAGTAGGGCAACGGGTTGGTGCTTCCAGTGGGTCAGATCATCGCTAGTAGCATGACCCCATGACATGGCTCCCCAGGTGTCTCCTCCAGGGTTATACTGGTAGTAAAGATGATAAACGCCATTGTGATAAATAAGACCGTTTGGATCATTCATCCAGTTCTTAGCCGGTGTAAAGTGATAACGAGGTCGGTAGAGCTCATTGTAGGTTTGCGCACCTACTGCCTGCAAAAGAGAGAGCCCGAAAGCTAGGGCATAAGCAAAGCAAGAGACCATCCTAACAAGATAGATGCATCCGGAGTCGGTATAGAAAGGCGACTGGGGAAAAGATGCTGATTGTGAGTGCCAAAAGATCACCAGCTCGCGGCGAAGCACAGGCTTCTATAGATTCTCAGGCTCTCGCGTTTGCCCGTCCTGAGCTTCATTTCTGTAAGGCCAAGAGATAATACGGATCCCAAGACTCAAATTCTCACCCCCGCAATTTTTCCCCCCTGCATTATTTCTGCACTACTCTGTATTTCCGCCAATGTTCCCCGATGTTGCGCAAAGGTGGAGAGATTCTGGAAGACTTCCCCGCACATTCCGAAACCAGGGGTGGATGTAGTGTGAACATTGCTGCCCCAGTGGCGTTCGTCTAAGCCAGCAAAGGAAACAGCAGAGAAAGCAATATAGCGACCTTGTTCGGGGGCATCTCATCTTTCCGGCAGGGCACCGCACATAATTTCGCGGAGATCGGAAACCACGGCAATACTGGTTGCACGCGTGACGAGGTTACTCGGTATTATTATGGTCATCATGAGGAACCCCGTGGAGAACCCCTGAGAGATCGTGCAAAATTAGTGCAGAAGTTGCGGGGAGGGACTCTCGACTGCCGATACTCAAATTGCTTAATCTTATTTCATCGCGGAGCCAGCCTAGTCTCCGCGAAATGCATCCACTATGCCGGTGTATGGGCGAATCGTTGGTCTTATTTGACGTTCTTGATTGCCCGTAATAGTTTAACTCAGGCTCTCAACCCTTCAGCTCACTCGTCACCCCTTGGCAGTTACATTGACCCTGTCCCGGAGGCAACGGAGATCTTATTGATCATTTCTGTTCCATTGTCGGGGCCAGCATTGCAGACTTGTCTCATATAATTAACCCTAAGACTGCATAGCTTCATGATGGTTAGTATGGTTGAGAATAACTGTCGTATCAATCAAAATATTTATCTTAGAAAGTTGAAAGGCGCGATGATGCAGGATGGACCGAGCCTCTTCAGGAAACAATGGAACAAGCTACTTGCTGTCTCAGAAAAGCATTTTCTGGTTATAAAAGGAATGGCCCTGAATCTTATTACCGTTGGCTTGGTTACCTAGGTGAAATGCAGCTGGGCGGTTCTTTGCACTGCGGATCCTTGCCTGTGGCGTCATTCTTCGAGGCAAATCAGTTAAATCGGGTCATTCACTAATCATCCCGTGATGCTTCATATCACCATCTGATTCACTACAATCTCCGGGCCACACGCGACCCAGCAGTGTGTCCGGTGGCCGCTATAACCTTCTGTACCCCGCCACGGTGGTCGTCATCGTAATTCCGCATTGGTCCCGATCTCCCGACTATAACCACTTTCCGCATAACCTGAATGTAAGTTGATGTTTTTAAGCAACTTACCCTGTCGCGTCATAGCAATGTAAACAAATGAGATGCGATGCCTCAGGATTGCCGGCCTGCTCCTAGGCACTTAGTGAAGGCTTCCAGGATCTCCCATAGTAGCGCATCTCCTATGCAAGTGAAGGAGATTACGGTTCGTTTGTTTCCTTCAGAATTATATGCGATGCACCTCCCAACATTAGAAATTCCGTGCAGTTTCCCATTACAGCATAATGCATGAAAGACCTGTGGAAGGCCCTTGAAGGCTAGACATGCAAGTCATACCAATGTGACCATGCACATGGTCAAAGCAACATTATGATACTATATTCATGACATGGGAGTAGGGACTAGATTTCCCGACATTCTTAGTTGTTAGTTGCCAAAGTGTTCGACCACGCTCCTGTGGAATCGCATAGCTTGACTGCTCAGAGCAGCAGCAGCGTGACTATGAGGTTGCTTTCATGAGTATTCTGCGTTCCTACCAACTAAAGGGGGATCGTGGACTTTCGGTCCCATCACTTACTAGACTGTCCAAGCTGGGCCATGTTGGCGCTGTCACGCTCTTCCCGGAACAAGATGACTGGCAAATCGTCATGGCGCAGACAGCAAAGTGGGTGTTTCCAAGTCCTGAATATCCAACCCCAGAGTTCAACAATGTTAGCCGCACTCGTTTGCAAGAAGATAGAGTCAAATCCTAAATAAAACGTTAAGGGAGGTTTGACGTTCCTTCAGCACCTTAGCTCATGGAAGCAATTGACCCAGAACACTGACAGTCAATTAGCCCTGCCATACGCTACGGGGGCGACGACCAACCTTCTTCCTCCGCCGTTTGCATGTTTCTTATCGCCGAGAGGCGCCGAGGTAGACCATGCTGATGAATTGACACAGCAGACGAAAGCAGAGAATACAGACAAAGTATGGATTAAACTAAGTTATATTTGTAATGCTTACTTGGCTGCTGCCTGCTTACTCACCCAAATCCTGATGCTTCGGGTTTATTACAGTAGCTCCGAATCCCCGAGCCCAATAGTAGAGCAGTATTGTGTGGATGAATTATGAAGAAACAAATAAACTGCAGTTCTTCGCTCTGACTACCTACAAAACCTACTCAACAAGCTATAGCAAAACAACCAACTTCTTCGCAGAAATTTCCGTCTTTCCATACAAATCCACGGCCTCCTGCACCTTTTCCAGCCCAGTCCCCACAACCACAGGTTCAGGGGCAGGCACAAAAGCTCCCGACTGCAGCGCACGCGGGAGAAAGTCCTCGAACACGGCTTTTCCCACAAAGTTGTCCTTCAGGGTAGTCCCGAAGATATGCTTCACCTGTATTCCATCAGGAGGCGGCGCGAAACCACCCTTGACAGTAGCGACAAACTTCTTCCCTTGTGATTTGCTCAGAATATCAACGCAAGCTGCTGTGGCAGAGACTCCAATACAGTCGATTGCGCCGGCCAGAACCTTTTCCTTGGCTGCGTGGACAATGTCCTTGGTGACAGTTGGACTGCTGTAGTCGAAGACCTCGCTAGCCCCGAGCCGTCTGACGTAGTCGAAGTTCTTCGGCGATGCGGTGGTAATCACCTCGTAGCCTGCAGCAACTGCGAGCTGGATGGCATTACTGCCGACGCTGGATGCACCGCCCCAGACTATAAGTGTCTGTCCGGTGGAGGCGGTGCGTGGCTCGGTCGGGAGGTTTAGATGCAGGAAGTCCTCTTGGAACATTCCAGATGCGGCTGTGGAGAGGCAGAGAGGCACAACGGCTGCTTGTTCGTAGGTGATGTGGTCCGGTATCTCGCAGGCGAGGTTGTCTTGTAGGATAGTGTAGGTCTGAAAGGCGCAGGCCTCCGAGCGTCCGGCCATGAGCCCGACGGCTTGGCCTAGGACGCGATCTCCGGGTTTGAATCGAGTGACATTCTCGCCGACGGAAATTACCTCGCCGGCTACGTCCTCTCCGAGAATGGTTGGGTAGTTCAGCGGGAAGAATGCCTTGGTTTGGATCAATCCATCGATGGGGTTGATGGCAACAGCATGATTGCGAACGAGGATTTCGTTGGCATCTGGCTTGCCAACGGGTGATTCCTTTATATCAAAAGGATAACTCTTTGCTTCTGAAAGCCAGGCAGCTGCGTTTGTGGATGACATTTTGATGAAGGTATAGGGAATAATACTTGGGGTGGAAGGACTGATGCAGTCTTGATGATATGAATGGAAATGATCGGACAAATTCTGTTGATTAGAAAATGAAAGGACAGTCAACTACAAGGTCATCCCTCTTATTTATACCCGATCCCTCGCATCTATTTATCATGCACTATAGTACTGGGTATCAAAAGTGAGGCCGAAGATTACAAACCTGAGCTCAGGCTTAACCCGAGCTGAGGCTTATGTCCGAGCCCCGAGGCTGATCAATCCACAATACATCGCCGTGCCATTGGATATGACCAATCTAATCCATCAAAACTGCGCAAAGCTAACTTAATCTTAGAACGTTGCATGTCTTACGTGATGACACTAGCACTGCTGACCCGAAGCGTTGCCTTTTAGGGCTAGTCTTGCGCATATCTTACTCCGAGTGAACAGTATCCGTTTGTCTCCTGTTTCTGATCGAGATATGATATCTGCGTTGAACTTATTGAAAAATAGAATTTATTTCAGTGGCTAGAAAAGAAAGGGTGCGGTGGGTCACCGATGATAACACAGGACCAACCCAGCGTCATTTCGAATTTTACACCCGCTCGGTCACACATCTCCTTGACAGGCACGAATGGCTTCTTGAGTGATTCTGGGATCAGTTCCTGACGTGGATAGCTGAACCTGTTCTGCCCTTCAGGTATTTCTTCGGATACCCCAGAAGAGATACAGATCCGTTCTAGGTTAGTGAACCTCTTCTTGTGATGAGCAAGGACTCCTTGCAGATTCGGCACGAGCAACGCGCAGTGTTTTGGCCAGCATTCGGCTACATGTAGCGACCTCAAACTGGCAGGCAGAATGTCCTTGAGCACGACGGATTCGTCTTTATCGCGGTCATGGTAGTTGAGAAGGTTCTGGACGCGGATGTGAAGATCCTGTAGGTGGCTGAATTCCGCCAGCGAACCAAACCAACGATCATATGCCTCGGGCCCGTCATTCTCCTCGTCGTCGCTCAGTTCATCTGTCCCGGCCCCGGTCTCCTCGCCATTGTCGTTCATATGGAGTACCTCGAGGCTGTCCTTCTGCGTCAGCAACGCCCTATAGAACTTCCGGGGTTGAAAGTCGACGTATGAATTCCCCCAGTCCTCCGTGTCGTCATGCTGGTACTTGAATTGTTTGAGGTTGGCGCAGGAGGTGATAATCTCCGCCATTCCGTTTCTCCCATTACAGAGAGATTCCAGAACCAGTGATTCCACGGGCGCTGTGCCTGACGCAGACGAAACCGCCGGGTGGTCCAGTCTGTCCCATTCTCTGGTTTCCTTCACACCGCCCAAGTTCACATCCCTAAGCGATGGCAGATGGAAAAATGGGAGAAACTGCCAGTGCGGATAGACTTGCTTCATATCGTCGGTGGTGATATGAAGCGTCTCCAACCGCTGCAGGATCGGCCTGGTATCAAACGGTGGTTCCTTTCGTGCCGCCCGCGCAACAACCAGCGTCACTCTCGGCGCCTCTAAACAATATCCCCCAGAGAGCGTGGTAAGATTTGGCACCGAGGCCAAAAGAAGGGCAAGCCATGCTTCCTGGTTTCCAGCTCGGAGATTCTCGATCCAGTCTTTCTCCTCCTCCGGCGATCTGCTGATTTGCCCTACCAGCTCCTCCGCCGCTTCCAGTAGATTGTCATCACTTTCTCTTTGTTGGGGTTGGGAATAGGTGTATGAATGCCACCATCCGAGTGATAGATTACGGATGGCTGGTCCTACCCGTGGGTTGGCCAGTATCACTTTCGTCAGGGACTCGATCTGAGGTCCATCGATATTGACGTGGTTGTATGCGACCTCGAGAAACAGGGCTCGCCAACGTCGGCATACTTGAAGCAATCGGAGTTTGTCATCTACGTCGGATACATGACTACCGATGGTAAGGATGATTTCCACGGGAAGTGTGTCCATTTTCTGGCTCGGTCGTGCTGCGTATCGGACACGTCGGATTACCGTAGGAGATCTACGCGTCGCTCACCCGCTGTTAGCGTGTTTTGTTGCGACCTGACCTAAATAGCACCGTGGAAGTATAAACGAGCAATATTACATTTTTAGAATTGCTGTAGAAATTAGCAGCTGCCTGTTCTTTACGAATTTACTATTTAGGCAGTGACACTCGTTGCTATACTAGTATATAGAGCAACAGATACATGGTAATCCCTAACCTTAGACGGGCGGCAGAGAGTTTCAACCAAGGTAAGTTATCCTAAGAAGTCACGTCTGGACGACTGGTATTTTCTTGCGATAAAGTTTTAAGTATTTGCGCAATGTGGTCAGCTTCCAGATTCTGACCCGCTTCCCAGTCTACGACTCTAAAGAGACCCGGGACCAATCCCTGTATTTTGTAGGATATTCATACGGGACAGTCTGTTGTGACGGTGATCATAAGTACCTTGATCCAAGGCTGCATTTAAGAAGACGCGATTACCGAATCCCATGATTGGTCGTGAAGTGCTGGGGGGCTAATCAGCCTTGTACAGTTGTACAGGTGTACCTAATCCCTGCACCAGGCTGAATCAGGCGGTGCAGAGCGTGGCTTAGGGACTTCAGAGGGCCATTCCAGCCTCACGAACAACATGAAAATTCTTCAAAACGCTTGACACACGACTATTGCTCATCCATATTGCTGCACGAGAATAATATTTACTCCAAAAATGGCTGACCCTGTATCAGTTATTGGAACAGCCGGTGCGCTGGTGAATGTTATCCAGATTGTGAGCCAGATAATAGTCGCAATCCGTGACTTACAAAGTGATTGGAGTGATACAGACCTTATGTTCCTCAGTCTAGCAAGTCAATTATCCGCCTTACGTCTTGCATTGACAAAGATCGAGGAATGGTTATGTATTGATACCGGGGATGCGCATCATCAGCTGGTCATGGACTTAGATGCATCCATCAATTGCTGCACAGTCCTGCTCGCGAAATTGCAAGATCTGGTAGATAGCCTACGCCAGAAGCAAAACAAGGCTCTCGACTTCCAAAGCAAACTCAAATTGGTATTTGGCAAGAAAAGTGTCGATGATATCCAGAAGCTACTAGAGCACCAAACAAACGCTCTCAGCTTGGTCCTGGCCGCGTGCAACTGGTTGGTACTTTCCTTACTACATCGCCAGAACACATCCCCAAAACTAACACTGAGATCTCAAGCCAAACCGGAGCTGAACAAAAGGCCTTGCTTGTTCGGTCGAGTAGCCGGAGAGTCTTTCGCCAAATGAATTCTGATTCTGCCTCGCTAATGGTCCACCGCGACACAACTTCCATCGCAACACAGATAACCGATCATTTATCGAAGGTGTCGGTTGCTTTTTCGTTTGACCGGGAGGTTTTTACCTCCAATGTGTACGAGAGATTTTTCCGTGGGCTCACGAGGAGGGTTCTGAGATATCCACAAACCCGTGATACTCCAGTGGTGGAGCAGCCTCGTGAACCTAGTGGTGACGATGGATGGCCCTTATTCCAGGAGAAATTATTACTCTTCGGCAGTGACTACGCGGGTACGGACGATATTCTTCATGAGCTAGTTGGCTTAGTGGGAAACCAAACTATCAATATTGGTCTCACCCTTCAACGAACCGCCATATACAAGTTCGTCATCATGAGCACCCAGGCTATTATTGCTGCCCTGAATCGCGATGCCACAGGTCCGCAGCTAGACAGTAATAGGGCACATTGCGATCTCTTGCTGCGGTATATCGACGATCTCAGTGCAACAAAACCTCTGGATGAGCGAATAGGAGAGGCAATACGCTCACTGTGGCAAGACCCAAGTATGGAGAGAGTCCGCCAATCTCCTCGAGAGTTTGCTATACCAGAATCAGCGCTAGAGTAAGTACCCTATACGCTGACATCCCTGGTCTAGTCTGGTTGATGAATATAGACTTTTCGATGATATAGACCGCATCGCCTCCCCAAATTACGAGCCAACAAGCAGAGATCTGAAGATAGTGCGAGACAGGACACCCTCAGTAATCGAGTTACAGGCCACATATATAAAATACCGAAACTCGTGGACAGTGGCAAAGCCAGCAGTCAAACTAGTTAACTTGCAACTTTTAGATGTCACGCTACGCTTCGGATCAAATGTGGCTTACGATTTCAAGGCTATTACAACCATCTTTTTGCTCATCAATATTGCCGGCTACAACGAATTCTTGGAATATGATCGTCTGCGGAGTTCGCTACTTCATTGCACATACAAATCCGAAGCAATGCTACGATCGTCCTGGTTCCCACAGGACACGAGGGTTGTGATTTTATTCAGGGAGCCCGAGGAGTTCGCGTCCAAACTCACTACGCACCCCTTCGCAGATTATTTCCCTGGCTACACAGAGGACAACGAGAGAGACGCAAGCCTCACCTTTCTCTTTCTGCACTTCAAACAACTGCGCCCTAATCACTTTCTTTCAGGGGTGATTATGTGGGGAATTCAAAGTTGTCCCAGAGATTCTATCATAGAGAAGCTACTTTTCATCTCTGAAATGTTGCAAAATGTGCCGCTAAACGCTGTCAGCAGAATGTTGGAGAGAAGGGAAATGAATGTTGACCCAGAGCAGAAATTTCAAAATATTGTTAGTTAGTTATAGTCTATGACCATCTTAAAGGTATACTTCTTCCAGCAGACTGCTTAAGAGTCTTCTTTATTATGCTAGCGTAGACCAATCAAACTACTCTCCAGAGTGGAAGGCTTCGTTACTACGAGCTAATTGCCACCGTATAATAGCAGAAGCCTGTTTGACTTAGTACTTGTGCAAGTACTGTGGGACAGAAAAGGGGTCACTCAGTCAAGGACCTGAAAGGCTTTCTCTCTAGGTCATTCTTGTGGTATGCTATCATGTACTTGCCTAGACATGTTCAAGAAGCGCGCTTCTAGCCCGACGGAGAAATTCATTTTAATGCACTGCAGCTTCTAGATACAGGGAGACACTTCAAATTCCAGCTTTGATCAGATGTTTAAGAGACTATATGACAAAGTGTTGAACATCGAATACGATAAAAGTTGATCAGGCAGAGGACCATCAGCAATGTAGTGTCTCAATAATGTTTGTTGCAGATAACCAAAACTAATCCTTGATTCTTCCCACTCACGACGGCCCCACAGTAGAAACCAGACCGGAGACCTATAGCGGGCTGTTGGGAGCGAAATAAGTTGATGCCACTTAGGCAGGAACTTCATTAGCCACATGTAGTCTTCGAGACACGTCTTTAGTCACTACTCACAGGGGTTAGAAATTGAATGCAGGGCGGATGGTCTGGCCGATCAAGAAAATTGGAGGCTTGTTGCTGAAGTGAGGAACATCCCCCATAATCTCTGCGGCCTCGGCACTTTCGAATGCTTTCTTCATGCCTTCTTCACTTTCCCAGTAGACCTGGCTACCAAAGGCATACACCGGAGCGGCACCGTCCAAGGATGGAATATACTTGGTGACAGACCAACCCTGGAGGCCGTACTTGGACCAATGCTTCTCAATGAGGGTCATGTGGTTCGTAATATAGTAGTCGATGTCGTACTTAGCATCGACATCGTTGGGAAAGACAACAGTGATTGTGCATGCCATAATTAACACTGGGCTGGATATGCACGAGAGAAATGTCTGTGAGAGCAATGACGAGTCAGAGCAGGGAAAAGATGAAGGGAGATCCGTTTGATATTTCTGCGGGTTACTATCTAGCGAAAGAACAAGATAGCAGAGACGTCTATTTATCTTCTCTCGGGGTCAGTTTGTGACCGTTACGTGCAGGGGCATCCAATGGCTTCTTGTAAACTTTCAGCGGTTCTATTGGACCCACGGAGCCATTTGTCATCACTTAGAGCTGAGTGTTCAAGAGTCATTTCGGTAGCACCGAACGGCTAGAATATAAATGTGTGCTCATCGCCTTCGATTCCTTACGTCTCCCCGGGACTCTTAACTAGCAATCCCTCCTCAGGTGTAGCAAATCTCACCACCTCAACCTACAAATGTCACCGAAACCAAAGTTCGTCTTCGTTCTCTCTTCGCAGAGCATTCTCCCAAGTCGAGGCACTCCCACTGGGTGGTATCTCCCTGAACTTGTTCATCCCTATAATGCGCTTGCACCCCTGTTTGATATTATAGTCTCATCACCGAATGGCGGTGAGGCACCTCTGGACCCCTACTCAGTTGAAGCGACCAAAGAGGATCCTGAATGTGTAGCTTTTCTCAAAGAGAAGTCCCATATCTGGAAAAATACCGTCAAGCTCCAATCCCTCTTAGGCAATGCGTCTGAGTTCGCTGGAATCTTCTACGTCGGCGGCCACGGTCGTAAGTTCGCTCCTAAATACATCTATGACTTAACCGGCAGAGGCTGACAGATCCGACGGCTCGTAGCGATGTTTGATCTTGCAAACGATGAGATATCTCATGCTCTTGTCCGTGAATTCTACGAAAGTGGCAAAGTGGTATCTGCAGTGTGCCATGGGCCTGCCGCTTTGGTCAACGTGAAATTATCGGACGGGAAGTACCTGGTTGCTGGTCAGGAGGTCACGGGTCTCTCAAATGCAGAGGAGGAGATCATGCAGTTCACTAAAGATATGCCATTCCTCTTGGAGACCAAGCTGCGCGAGAATGGGGGAATCTACCAGAAGGCTGATAGCCCTTTCGGCGACAAAGTCATCACGAGTGGACGGAACGGCAAGTTGGTTACCGGTCAGAACCCTCCGAGCGCCGGTATGATCGGCAAAAGTTTGATCAAAGCGGCTGGCCTGTAATCTAAAGACTGTACTACATACAGTTCTTTCTGGGGTGTTCACATGGTCTGATTGCAAGCTTGAAGATCAGTAAATAGCTCTCTTAATCCACTGCATCCAGCCAGCAACTGCATATTAGCTGTTCCAGATTATCCAGAACCTAATTGATGATTGCAACCAATCACGACTTTTTGAGTAAGGCACTATGGAGTAAAAGCATGATACCCACTTACCCTCCCAAATAACACAACCAAATTCGGGTCGCCCAGCGGGCCCACTTGAATGCCAACTTAATGCAAGTGTGGTCCAATTACAGAGAGTTTGTAAAAGATGCCACCCTTCCTTTAATCTCTCCTAGCCAATAAGAGAGAAAATGTAAGCAAGTCGCATGCATGGTGTCTGCCCCCAAGATCCCTTATAACCTTACTGACCAATAAGAGAAAAGAAGTAAGCAAGTTGCATGCATGACGTCTGCGTCCCCAAATCTACTTAGCACTGCCCTAACTGTGTCGGTAACCAAGCAGGTTATCCCAACGGCCGGTCACTACTCCGTACTCTCGTAGGCATTCAAGGACGCTTAGCTCGTTGTATTCAGGAATCCTCAATTTCCATGGTAGAAATAAGCAGATATGTCGAAAACACCAAAATCTACTACTCGCATTGTAACTACCAAAAATTTAACCCCCTAAATACCAATTTCTTGGCATTCAGCCGCCAATATTGCTAATGGTCCATTCCTGCACTGTGGCCATTCGAATGCGAGGCGCAATGGCGGTTGATGAATGACAAATACAGGGAGTAGTAGAGTATGGTAATCCTCGCGTGAACCATTGGTACATGAATTTAGGCCTTCACTTCCAACAAAGACTTCACTGTATCCACCACACAATCCTTGAGGGACCTGAAAGGTATGCCTAGAATCTGCTTCATAGGCGTGTTGTCAATTGCGAAGCTGGGGGGCCCATCAGGAACAGGAATATGCTCCGGAAGTCTGTCTGCCAGCTCGGGGAAGTTTTCCTTAATTACTTGGGCGATTTCGTGGTTGCTATATGGTCCGGCGGCAGCCAGAAACCGTTGGCCAGCTGCTTCAGGGACTTCGATTGCACGAACGTGACCGAGCGCAACATCTCTCACGTCTACCCACTGGAATGAATTGGGGGTAATGCCTGATCTCATTTTGCCCAATATCATATCCCTGAATACGGCATTGGAGGTGTTGACGTGCTCAAGAGACTCCAAACGATATGTCGCAGGTCCAAAAACCATAACGGGATTGATGGTGGAAAGAGTGAACCCAGGACTTTCATTTTCGACAAAGTCCCAGGCAGCTTTCTCTGCAAATGTCTTGCTCCCCACGTATGCTAGCTGACCATCTGTCAAGGCCTGCTGCATTGTGATAGGGTTCCAATGCTCAGAGGTGTATACAGGTATCGCTTCCTGAAAGTTCATGACAGCAGCAAAGGAGGAGGTAATGACGACTCGTTTGACCGACGGAGCGCATCGCTTAATAGCTCGAAGTATTTCCGTTGTCCCCATGATAGCAGGATCAATCATGTCCCGCTTTCGGTCTGCTGCATGATAATGAAAGGGACTAGCCGTATGTACTACAGCGTCGAATGGAGGTTCTGACTGGACAGCCTTGTCGAAGGCTCCTGAACGCGCCATGTCCTCAACGATAACGTACGAGAGGTTATTGGAAAACTCAGGATAGCTTTCCTGGCATTCTCTCCCCTTCTCATTGCTGCGTACCGTGGTCACGACAGTATGACTGCCAGTTTGTCAGTTAATGCCCCTGCTAGTTTCAGGCGTACAAACCCATGTTGGAGCAGGTAAGCAAGACAGTGCTTTCCAATGAAGCCACTGCCGCCGGTAAGGAGAACTTTCATGATATGTCCACTTGAAGCAGAAACTGCGATCTATAAAAATTTTTTTAGATGAATGGAGGACTTTAAATTGATCGCAGGCAGAGTATATGGATGCTAATCAGATATATAAGTATTTAAGAAGCACGTACGTCATACATTATTGTCGAGTCCACCATCGGGCTAGAAATGGGTCAGCGGCCTATTCAGATATTACTATCTCCATAACAATAATTTCAATTGGAGCCATTTGATATTTCCATTAACGCCGTCGTGGCAAACCACAAGGATGTTGGGCTGGTGGGGGAGATGGGCCGTCCTCGATAGCATCGGCCATTTGCCAGCCGCCTTTTGAGAGTGTTTGGAAGGATTCATGAGTTTTTGGCTTTGGCAGCCACCCTGACCCCGGGCAGCCAGAAAAATGAATACCAAGCCAAACCGATGGGACGCTGTAAACGAGATATGACTGTATGTAATTTAGCAGGTAATCATACCTTCGCGTCAGGTACTTTATCACAAAGGGCCAATGAAGTGTAAAAGAAGTGGCTGTAGGTAGGTAACTTCTCCGTACTATATCTTCTCAATCTGCTCCTGGGCATTACGATAAGCCCCAGGTTCTCGATCTGGTTGGCTGCTACAGATGCGTCCAAAGGCGAATAATGCGGCTACTAAATCCTGTTGAGGCATCCTGCATACCGCAGTATCTCGACCAGACCAGCAGTTTTCCAACCCACTTCTGCAACCGCTTTTCATCAACCACCATACAGCTCAACAACTCCAGTTACTGACCAAGGACGTGTTGTGCCGGTAAGGCATGTGGATGAACACGCAATATCACTGACATCCCTGCTCCATGGATCGCGACCATTCTCACACAGCAACCTTTCTCTTTGTCATGGTGGCTGCATCTCAGGGTCATGCGGAACCTATCCATATCTATTTGAACTGCTAGGAAATTCTCCGGCGGACCGGATTCGGTGTAGCAACTAAAATGTCTCAAAGACCGGAACACTTACTCCTTCCAGCGTGGACGCAATCCCCCGTCTATGTACATTGTATACCGCACAAATTGTTTAGCAAGACCGCACGTACGTCTTATTCGCTGATTACATTCAGTGTGCCCATTAGGGATCATCTTTAGGCAGCGCACCAGATTGAAGCAAGGGTGAACACAGGAAGGCCCTCGAGAGTCTATGCTTCGTGCAAGAAGAGGAAACTCCGAGTACGCTCACGCCACCCAAACGAAATTACGTAGTTTCCTTATACCTAGTCTGAGATTGACCTGAAAACAAAATGAGAGTAGTGTGACTTACGGGTTGGTGGCTGCAGTCAATGACAGAGAGCTAAGCTGTCATGTCACGGATACCTCTGTCCTAACCAGTTGTTGATCTGTGACGAGACTCACTCGACGAAACAGAAGGTTGTGGCCCGGCACAGGTCGGCATATATTGTTCCCGTTGCGTTGCAGCTTGGATGGGATGCTCGCGCTCAGAAGATGTTTTTCTCCATCAACACCTTTGGGCTGCCACGCAGGTATGAACGCCCTCGCGCTTCTCTATACCTAGACTAGTACCGCGGGGCATCTCTTGTCATGCGTGGACGCACTTGGCTTGGCTTTCAGGTCGTTCCAATTAAGTAGTCCTGACATATTGCATATGGCAACCGCAGAAGTATGTGGACGGTATCAGAAAAGTCGGTCAGGCCATTCAGAATCCGATTCCACTAACTCGCAATGAATGACATATGCAAACACACCTTACTGAGTACAGGTGCAATACCGAAGCAAACACCTCTCCAGATATTGCTGTCATCGTTAGACAGAGTTGCGCAACGGTGCCTCACTTCGCACTCCTGTGGCTTTGGCCGGACAATGATGTGCCGTCCTCAACTTTGCAGATAGTGCGTTCCTGTACTCTCATTGCCCTGCTCTATATTGCTAGCCAGCCTTCTAGCGACCCGATGATCAAAAATTGGATCATTCAGACCCTAGATGGCATAGCCAAGAATGGAACTATGAGGATAGAAAGGACGTTGATATCCTCTTGAAGACGGCGACTCGTACGGACTATTGCACAAGTTACACAAGGAGTGCCAGCTATGCCTTTGCAACCTGTGAGAAATCATTTCATCTATGGGAGTCCCGCGAGAATTTTCAGACGAGCTGCATCAGAGCGTGCTCCGTGTTTTCTCGCATGGTCTAATCTGTGCGCGACTTGTCTGAGAACCCTAAATCTATGGCTGGATCTAGGGTTTCTCCTCTGCCGAGGAGGGGTAAAAATCCTGTCTACCCTTAAGTCGATAACGAACTTAGTGTTCGTGGATCGATGCTTAATAAAGTAAGCGGTTCGGCGACTTCGCACATAATCCGATTGCATACTTTCAAAACCGCAATAATGTTCCGGGTTCGATAATCTAGGTGAAATATATAGTATCGGCTGTAATGAACATGAAGCCATATTGGTCATACGATATTGTGTGAGGGGAGAGAATCAAATATATGGAAACATGCAGAAATCAATTCAATTGGATAGGTGGTATGATTTATTCAATAAATATGATATTCCTCATGTAAGTATATTAAATCCCAAGTTTCACAGAGGATAATGTCGCCGTCCCCACTAGTTAGTATGCAGTGATTGTCGCGCGCCACGGCGTCCGATCGGCCCGGTCGGGACATACCCTCCGTCCACTTGAATCCCTCGAGACCAATATATGCCTACTCATGATAGGTTTCATTAGTAATGGACAATAACTAGGGGTTAATCAGATCCTCGAAACAATGTTGCGTAGGCTTCAGGCCATGGGCCTCGGACGACCGATGCCGCCGTTATTAGAAATCACCCCTCGCTTGGAGCCTCTGCGCCTGACGGGTAAGAAGATCATGAACGGACTCAATAAGGGACACGACTAGAAAAATATATAGGCCTGATTGAAGCCCAGTGATACGTAGGAAAAGGGTAAAAAAGAAACACAAAACTACTGTACTGTTTGTCATATCTGAGTTTCCCCTATCATCAGTTGCAGTTGTTTTACAAGAAGAATCTTGCACTTGCGCACCATGCCTAGCAAGCTCCGTGACAATGTGTCTCGCGTGAAAAAATTCAATCCATTGGGCATATTGACATTTATTGGGCTGCGTGCGGCCGATTCTCTTTTCCAGTACGCCCTGCTTCAGCGAGGCTGGGCATCCAGCTTGATCGAGCTCGTCGGTGCTACAGCCGTGAATCGCAACCTCATTGTTCATGACTCGACGGGTCAACTACACCCTTATTATGCTATTATTTCATTTATGGCTCTCGGTAGCAGTGTGAAGCAGATTTTGAACGCACTGCTCGTCTTGGAACAAGAAATGTCGCCATCATCAGCAATTGTCATTGCACTCTTCAACACTGTATGCAACTCGCTGAATACTATCCTATCGGTCTGGGTGGTTACGGCACAAGCGCCGGGCCGGCTAAGCTTCTCTGGCATTCTGCAGTATCCACTTTTGCTAGCTGGTGTCGGGTTCTACATGGGCGGTATTCTGGTAGAGGCCGCCTCGGAACTACAAAGACGATCCTTTAAGAAAGATCCCACCAACAAAGGAAAGCCGTATGCTGGCGGATTATTCTCAGCAGCAAGACATATCAACTACGGCGCTTACACGATTTGGCGAGCCGCGTATGCATTCACCTCGGGTGGCTGGCCATGGGGCATTGCCGTCTTCTCGTTCATCTTCTACGACTTCGCGACTCGGGGTGTTCCAGTTCTTGACAAATATCTTCTGGACAGGGTGAGTCGCTGTGTCTATGGCTGTTTATGAGAGACAAACTAATTCGAATCAAAGTATGGTGAACAGTGGCAGGCAATCAAGGACCGCGTTCCGTATCGTCTGATTCCTGGCATTTACTGAGATGCAGTCTGTCCTTTACTTTCAATGGAGCCCGGACCGGTTGGTTACTATAAGCTCCCCCGGATTCACCTCTTTTCAATCCAATGATGGCTATTCTATCACTTCTATCACCAGAAAAGGAGGTGGCGTTTTGACAGTGAAGCAAGGTAATGTACTCTGAAGAGTCGTGCTGTGTTAGTAGGAGTTATACATAAGCATATTTTAATTGAAGCTTTCTTCTTAACAACTAAACTAGTTGTAACGATGGGAGGCGTACACTATGGATTTTGCTGTCAAGTGGATGGCCATGCCTTCTAAGGTGTCTGCGGCTGCAATCTGGAGATAGCACACTGAAGGATCCACTGACTGGTATTCGAATTACCTGGCCATGGCGATAACCATTCGCGAACAATAGCCCTAGACGAATCTTGGCAATTGCCAGTTGGCCTGCGAAGCTATCCACCTTTGGGTCGATCCAGTCCTGGGCGGACAACCATCAATTCTGTGTGGTGCTAAGCGTGGTAGGATGTCTTTGGGCGATGATGTATCTCGCTACGAATCATCAGGGCCGATGTTGGCGCCATTCATTGTCCGCTGGTGATCGCGACCAGGGGAATAGGCCTTTAGCTCGGCTTGTGTTGTTGAATACTAGTATTGCGGGCAAGACTCGACACAAGCCGCTATGTAGATTAGAACGTAATCACTTGTGCATTGCCGCAATTTGAATTTGGCAGGTAATCAAGTCGAAATTACATTGCTACCCAAGGTGGATTAGCCTGGGGAAGAGAATGGACGATAGGTGGGTTTATGAAGTTGGGTGTCAGTTGTCGAGTACCCATCATCAAGCTATGGACTCATTCACTGTTCTCTGAGACAAGTAATTTGTCCAACATCTATTAGTATCTTTGGCACATAGGCTGGTTTTCTGTGTGTTTTTAATGGCTGGATATTGTGATCGCTTGGACAATAGTATCACTAGCGCTTATGTACACCATGGCCACTGGCCTAGAAACCAACGCGGCAACCGGGGAAACTTTGGGATGTTTTGTAATTAATTCGCGGAAGAGAGCAAGGCGTCAGATACACTTTTGCTTCTTTTGACGGCTATTTTCCTAATTTACGTCGCCTTCCAACCTGAGCTTCCTCTGCAATCGATACTACTCCTTTTCATTCGGAGGTTCTGTCTTCATAGACTCACAACTATCTTCTGCCCGTGGCCGTCTCTGTAGCCATCCAATGCCGCGTTAATCCTGTCAGGACCAGCCCCCTCAATGAATTCGCACCTCAGTGAACGAAGGTGCCCAGCCTGCAGCCAACCCACCACATTCTCCCAGAACACCATCGACACCTCCGGATACAACGCGCTGAACCCGAAAGTCAGCCGTCTGTCGTAGCCAGCTGCCTTTTTCTCAATCAGCGCTTTGTCCGTCTCAGTCTCATCCACTGGGTTCAGCGTGATGAGGCAACCCTTCCGGGTGTTTGACAGCGCCGCGAGGCCGAGGTTCTGGGCGGGCCCTAAATTTACCGTGTCGAGCGCATAGATAAGCTCGTCACCTGTGACATCTCGTATCTGGCGTAGAATCTCGTCGTGGCTAGCATAACGATCAATCACATGCGTTGCGCCCATACCTTTCAACTCTGTGGTATTCCGTGAAGAGGCAACGGTGACGATCATTCCGAAGCCGAGCATGCGAGCAAGTTGAACAGCATATCGGCCGCAATTTGATCCCCCGCCGACAATAAGGATAGCATGATTCTTAAAGTCTGCACTAACATCATCGACGGCCGATGGTAACGGCAGGCCTAAACCAGTCGAATGGAACATAGCGATGAAAGATGCTATGGCGCAGACGGGAATGCCAGCGGCCTCTTCATCCGACAGACCCGTGCCTGCGACCCTGGCGGCAAATCGGGCATCGACCAAGGCGAATTGTTGAAGACCGCCACAGTCTTTGAGCTCTTCGCCAGGGACAAAGTTCACATGAGCAAATATGTGCTCACCCACTGCAAACTGCGATGCCTTCGTTCCTGCACCACGCCTGACCACAACCCCTGCAAGCTCGTGACCCAGGACTTGAGCGGGCCCTTTGAAGAACAAGCCGACATCCCGCGTTTTCTGATCAAGAGGATTTACTAGAATTCTATGAGGAAGAATTGATTTCCAGTGGCAGACATTGACTTACAGCCTGTAGCCGTCACCTGGACCAGAAGTTGATTTTCCTCTGGGTTGGGAATCGGTCTTTCCACTAGAACGGCAGGGGAGTTGAGTCTGGTGACAGCGATGGCCTTTTGCATGTTGATTTAGAGTCGAGAAAACTTCGATACGATCATACGCGATTCAGCAAGAAGAAGCCTACAATTTTTGCTCGCATCTAAGCTGGCGAATTGATGCAATTTCAATATCTTACTGCAGGCCCAGTTAAGCCAAGGATATCAGCAATGTCGGATCATATATTCAACTGCAATGTGATTGGTCATGTAATCACATTGCATTAGCTCCTGCTGCTAGCCCCACTCGTATCCACCATTCTGGTACCTTTGAATGTCTTTGACCCACGCTGGCAGTTTAGCCGTCTTGCGAGTTGCCACTGAACAAATGTATTCGTATTCTGCGGACCATGTACCAGCCAACGGGTTGATGATACAAAGTAGCCGTAAGAACTGAACTATAATGACTAGAAAGTCATTTGTCCTACCTATATTGTCGTGGAATATTGCCCTCTTTTTCGACATGGTCGGAACGCACAAGGTTCAGTAGCAGCAACTTAGTCCTGGCCTGGAACGTCCCTTCAGCCAGTCAAATTCACCGTTCCGGCTGACAAATACCACTGACGAGTTGTAGTTAAACTAAGATCCTGCATGTACTCATCTTAAATAGGGATAACGTCCCCCGCATCCGAGTTCACCTCCTTTGTATCCTACCTTAATGTAGGTCCAGTCATAAGACGCATGTGCAATGGTTCCCACCATTCCATTACAGCAGTTACCCCAACAACAGAAAGCACCTTCTGAAGATGATTGGACTGGAGTTAGTGACCCTGTTACGCGTCGGCGATTACAAAACCGACTAAATCAAAGATCTTATCGTTAGTAGTCCTTATTTCTTCGACAGGGTACTAAAGAGGGTTAACTTTTCTAACTGCAGGGCAACGTCACACTAAGAATAACAATACTGGTCACCGTGGTCAGGCAAATAGTGTGGACCCCAGCCATGACAGTGGCCGTCCTGTCCAACTCATGAGGAGTGCATCTGCTGCAGCTAACACCGTCTCACATGTCGCTGCCATAATTTGCAGATTAACTATGGACCAACACTCCACATGCACCTTTGCACCGCCAAATATCCACGAACTGATGAACCAATTTGAACGAGACGCTGTGGGAAAGTACCTTTCCGGCTCCCCAGAGATAGACCATCTCCTCTCTCTCAGTAGAATAAATGTTCTACGCGCGGCTTACGAAAATGTCATTGCGCTAGGCATGTCTGCTGAGTGGCTATGTGCGGATGAAGCAGTTTCCGTGTTCAGTCAGTCCTGTGCAGGGGTGCGAGAAATAGATATTCCCCAGAGCTTAAGCCCAACATCCTTACAGCGGAGAGTTCCACATCATCCGTGGCTGGATGTCTTTCCTTTCCCGCAGATGCGGGATAATATGATTCTGGCTGGAGATGCCCTAGATGATGATGAGCTGTGTCATGACCTTGTATGTTTCTGGGACACTCGTGATAGCCGCGCAACGCTACTCGTCTGGGGAGCTCCCTGGGACCCGCAGAACTGGGAGGCTAGCGAGGCGTTCGCCATCAAGTGGCACTGGGTACTAAGAGGCTGTCCTGACCTACTGGTTTCTACGAATAAATGGCGACGGAGGAGGGGTGAGAAACCTCTTCCGTGGAGGGAGATCCTCGGGGCGGGAAGAACACAGGTTGTATAATTTACCGTTGGTTTGAAACTATTATGGTGCTGAAATGTACTTGGATTATCCTGTTAACTCCTATCAATTGCGGATCCTTGCGGCCACGAACAAGAGAAAGATCGTGTGTCTGACATGGTCAGTTTCATTCAACTTTTGAGACGCAGAGTCAAACTCCAGTACTGGTAGTCCTTCATGGGGGATCAGGAGCAGGAATATCTGAACTAATAAAGCCCTGATATTAAATTCTAGAGGTTACGCAAATATACATAGATTTCTGGTACTATGCTGGGTGCCATTTAATAGACTAGCATCCATCACTTCACACCTGTGGGCTATCATTGGCTAGGCTTATGAGTCATTACTAGTCGTCAAATCCAGTGTATTCCCCGCATTGACAGGGTCCGCCAGTTTACCGGTAAGCTCTGCGAATTCCGAGGAGACGATAGATATGAATGGGGCGCGAAGGGAAAAGTCACCCAGGCTATACTCGACTGCCGGATGAGAACACCACGGCAAAAACTACGCAGAGAGGTCGGAGAAGCATTCCGCGATATACCAACCATGCTCAGAAGGAAAGGGGGTGCCGAGCAGATTTTGAACGCCTGGTTTAAATCGCATAACACATCACTGGCAGTGTTTTACCTGTTCAAAACACGACAATACTGCAAATTCGCCTTGGGGGATTCCAACCTTCTCATGTAGGTTGGGAAGTTTGTGGGCTCGCTCGCCAACGATCACTTCTTCGCGGATATCCATAGTGGTGGCTGAATCCCGATGGTGTTGCTGATATTATCAAAACCATCCGTATGGTCCTTTTGTACACGGAACTTGAACATTAGCAACCTGCAATGGCGAATTTCTAGGACTATGTATCGTCGTTTGATAGAGTAACGGGGAAGCGTACCTTAAGGGACCATGAAGAAAGCTATTTGAAGTCAGTGTAGAAGCGCCTAGCGGCGCCACAGGCAAAGGATATGGAGGAAGATCTTTTTGAATCTTTCAGGTACACATAAATGGAGAAGGCCGGATGGGTTTGGAGGCATGCAAGGAGCATTCAGTGCTATCAATGTTTGGATGTAGGTCATTCGCTATCCAATTTTGCCATTGAGACAACGATGAAGGATTATGTTACCGGAAATCAGCTTTATAACTCAGGGCTTACTAGGTAACTATATTCACGCGAAACCAGACTCCGGTGATGTCTGATATCAGGTTACGGAAGTCTCGATTGCCCTTTTGCGGCAACCACCCTGGGTCACCAATGACGAAACTGAGATCAGAGAACCACGGAGGGCCATGAAAAGTCATCATGATGTCAGTCATATGATACCAAATCAGTCCAGACAGATTGAAATTGAGACAAATAGCTGAATCCTTCATCCCGTCAAGAACACCCCTAGATGATATCCCTCCGGGTCCAGTGAACGAAAAATCAATGTTTGCCAGAGGGGCACAGAACTGTCTATCCAAATAACGACCTTACTTCAAACAGCCCTTAGATTTGTCGCTTCAGCATGTGTGCTTGCTTTTCCCAAGGTTCTATCTGACCTTTCGTCGAAGCTAGCAAGCTTTGGTATCCTGGGGCCTCAGCCTTGTAAGTCCTGAGATGATAACTGGTGGGAGACCGAGCCGCCCGAAACCTCCATACTCGGGGTATAGTGGCTTGTTTTGAAAACCTAATGACATGATATGCTAGGCTTAAAATAGATCACTTAGTTATTTGTTTGGTATGCTACTAGTAATACAGACTTTCCGAAAAGCGGCTTTACCACATACTCTCCCTTCTTCTTTCCTGAACCCTCGTGCCGAAGGAACGTGCGAGAACACCTCAGGGCTAACCTACGCACTCTGGACCTATTGCCAGCACCGGCCATTGCCTGCAGACTCTCAAGGGCTATAGTAGCTGGGTTATCTCTATACTCTTTTTGCATGATTCGAAGCTGTTCACATCAGCCACATACGACAGGACAGTCCAATCAAACTGCTATAACTATGGGAACATGGATATTAACCGATTGCAGCATAGTCCTATGCTCTATTAACTGGGTAGATAGCATAGCAAGGAAGTTACCCCTTACGTCGGGTATAGGATTTATGCTGACAGACAGACAATGCACGATGTTCCTATGGTACCATTGCATCAATATACTGTGCCACTTGCATCCCCTAACATTCCTGGGATCATTTGGACCATCCAGCGTCATGCCAAACCCTGTAGAAGGGGTAATTATGTACGTTGTTTGTTACACAAGGCCTCTTCGCCTCTACACATAAACTCCTGCATATCATCCTTTTACAGTTTGCTTTGCTAGCTTAGAAACCCGGCAACTAATATAAAAGGGTGAAGTATTGCTTTCCGGAGCATATTCTAGTCGAGTTGAAAGAAGTGACCAAACACTCAAGTCTCAATCTTGCGCTAAAATATTTCTTTCCTCATAATTTTCGTGTTTCATGTTAATACGTTCTGCATATCACCAACTCCAAGCTTATTCCACCAACCTACAAGCATCTCGGCACAATGCGACTTCTTTTAGTTATCTTTCTATCCCTCGTGACTCCATTGGTGGTGGCAAAGGACTGTTTGATTGAATTTGGCCGGAGCAGGGATAGGGAAGACATAAGCTACTGCCTCGCCGATCCAAATGACAAGAATTGCCTCGAACTTGCAGCGGACTTCGACGACCAACCTGAATACGAGACTGGGCGAGCAGGTGGCAGAGCAATTCTCGTGGTTTCCTTCAAGCCCAACGACGAGCTTACAGCAACTTGCTCCAAATATGACGGCAAATTGATAAGCGAAAGGGAGGCGGAACAACTCATTGAGAAGTGGGAAACAACTCCCTTGGCATTGGAGGACTTTTAAGGGCTTGGAGGAGTATCTAAAGAATAATCAGTAACCCTCCGGACTCCAGGCGTGCCACGGCGCTTGCATCGTGATTCACCCGTCGGTCTAAAGCATCTTTGACGAAAAAGGCGTTATTGGCGACGAAGAACGTGGATCATCCGAGTCGGGCCATTTTTGATTACATCCAATTCTATCAAATGGTTTTTGGTGAATTTATTATTGCTAGTATAGCCAGTAGCTATAAAATCTATCTTAAAGGAAAGAAAGAAGGCTTGTCACAGATTGCTAGTCCGAAAGCGGTCTCGCGTAGAGTCTATATTGGATCTTCCAGTCTTCCAAGGTCTAATTCGAGGCCCTTGTATTTAAATACCTTGATTCTACGACTCTCCAACGAATAATTACCAGTGAACCATTTCCAGACTAGTGTATCTTGTGATTATGGTTTAAAAAGAAACCTCTATATACAGATCATGGAATTCAGATTCGGGCGGCTCTGTATACCACCAATATTGCCCAAGATTCAGAGACATGCGAGAAGAACTACGGAGGAAAATTGGAGGCGCATTTAGCAATATTTCAAACATGCTAGGAGGAGGGCAACAAGGTAAGGAAAGTAAGGTACAAGTCACTGGCAAGACAACAGCACCCTAGGGGCTGTACTGTTCATTGCATATAAGGAAAGATATATAGATAGGTAGGATAGGGAGATCCTGCATATCGCCGATGGCGAGGGGTCAGCGTATGAAATCATCACCATCATCATCCTCTGTATACCAATTGAATACATTCAGGCTCTTTTCCGGCGTTCGTACAGTCGATGGTCGGTAATGTATCCAGACATGGAATTTTCGCCTATCATACCAGTGTGCATGCTATCCTGCTATCCCTTTTCTGGCTGGAAAACAGCACAATTCCAGTGGGGCTCTTGGCAGTACTTAAGGACTACGTGCCGCATGTTTCCTGACCAAGAGTGCATCTCAATACACTGCCTACTCTGACTGTATTTTTATCTTGCTCTTACGCAGCGGCTGTACCCCCAGTCGGGTGGGCCTCTCACCACCAGACGTCCCTAGTGTCTAACGACACCCCTCGTACCGGGAGCTGGTTATTGCCCCAAGGGAACGACTTGCGTCCTGGGAGGCTTAACATGCATTAGCATGGGAATCACATGGAATCACCTAGTTCAGAGTTGTAGAAAGCCCAGGTTTAACAGGAAAGTAGGGTAGACTTCTAGGATGAGTTGGGATGGGTTAGCACATGAAACAATGGCAGCGACAGAAAGTAGCATCACGATACGACATGTGATGCTACATGTGACCGGAGTATCAGGCGAGTCTGTTGAGTATCATGGTGGCTAGATCTTATGGCAGGGATTGGGAGCGGATGTACGAGGCAGCCCGCCCTTGTACACGATGACTCCTTAAGTCAATCAACAGCAATCGTTCTGGCTATCACTCTGGCTTGGAGCAATCAACATGAAACCCAGCTCGATATAGCTCGCCCTTGCGAGCCATTACAGCGCCTTGTCACTGTAGTAGTGAACGACATTTCCTTCTGCTATCACCTCCATACACAATCAGTCCTGCAGGAGCGACTTTAGACATAGAATCGCAGATATGAGTAGCTTTCTGTCAGAGAGGTTACCACCACGAGTAACCAGTCTCCGGGCATGCGGCGCAAGTAACTGGTATAACATTTCCCTCATTCTCACTGTCTCGAATGAAAAGATTCATCAAAGTATTCCGGTCTCACTGACTGCTGGAAAGGAAAAAGACAAAATGTCGGTGTTCTTTACCTTTCCCCGGCTAGCGACTGCTGCTAGTAGTGTCCGTGAAGCAGATCGCGCTGACCGCGCACTGAGATAGGTGATATGAGGCACCCAACCCGTTCACTTTGTCGGCGGACGGGGACGTCCTGTATATACCCTTTGCGGCGGAAGCCACGGACGCGACGCGTGAGCAGACCGGACACCGTGGATCAAGATGCAAATTCAAAAGTGGGAGGGCCCAACAGGATGGTCTGTTTCACGAGTTCCCCATTGTTCTTTAGAGGCATTACTGACGCCTTCATGCCCTCATATTGCAGATATAACAACTGTCCGCTCTAAAACGATTCCGAATATGAACCAAGGTTGTACCTCTCATTCAGCAGACCTGGCCGTGGATGCAAATGATGACCTGTCGTGTCCAGCCGCCAGCGAATTCGTTTCATACAATCCTCCAGCCGATTCTTCCAATGATGTGGATGCTTTGCACGCGTCATATGGGCGCACGTTGAATAGGCAGAAGACTCTTGATCTAGAATTGTGGGATCCGAATTTTCATTCGTTCTCCCCTTCTTCGATCTGAACTTTCCGCTATCTGCATCCCGGAACAACCAGGGATTAGACGATCAGGGGGCTCATGGCTCTGGGTACCCTGCCAACGGTGACGGTATTTGGCATACTTCTGGACGTCAACAATCCTCGTAGTCAGTATTGACGATTCACGATCCGCGACTGCAGGAAAGCAGTGGTATTCTTGAACAAGATTCCTTCAAAGACTTGCCGCCTGCTTTGTTGGATGAGTTGTAAGTCGGATTGCGTTTCGCTCATACTGTTTGCACTTGGATTCCTAACTATTTTCTCAATTTTGGAGTCGATATGTGGTTCAATAGAATTCGGTTATTTTTACCCTTACTACAAGGTCCTCGCCCCAAGGGTCAATTGGCTACCTTAGCTGAAACCTTCTCAAATCTTCTCTGGCTAGTTAAAGCTCATGTTTCTATTCAAGCAGTAAATGTGCACACAATATTTTGCTAGAAAAAAAGGCATACTCGTTTCAACGATACACAGTCAAAATGGGAATGCGCCAGGTACCAGCTGCTCAGGTGGCAGACGCAGAGAGTCGCACTCCAGAGCAAATATTTTCGGTGTCAATGTTCTCTTCTCCTGAGGATCTCTACCAGCACGCCCGCGAAGTTCTCTCTGCAGTCACATCTCACCAAGGACTCATTTACAAAAACATTCCACCATTTGGGCCCAGACTGTATCAGATCGGCTCGACAGCAGGCTTGAAGGTTCTTTCAGGTAAGATACGTATCTTAGTATTTCCTGGAAAACTAGTTATTGCCTGATTTTGTCGTTTCTTTGTCAAGAAAACACCACAGCGTCGTCACATGGACTATCTGGATTCGAGCCATGCCTACCCCAATTCACGATTGCCATCAACGCTGGGCCATTATTCAGACCAAACGGTGGAATCACGCTGGGCTTACAATCGTTACCGAGGACGAGTGCTTAAATATTTCTATTGGTACAAGTTGAAATTCCATCAACTGTATGACTGACTATTACAACAACGTTACTAGTAGGTACTTTATTGATCAATGGCCCATATTGGAGGTTTAGAAAGGAGCCAAATTTGTTTTCTTTTTTGGCCCAGACAATCTATCGTCGTCATCTCTCGTCATTGAGTCCGGGTGGAGCGAATCTATGCCCCGACTCCGGGAGGATATGCATCTCTGGCTTGTCAGTGGCCAGGGAGCTGTTAAAGCGACAATCACCCTCAATTAGCAGCGAGTCACAAATACCAGCACGGGTAGAGGAGGTGAAAAACGACTTGTCCTGACGCGGAGCGAGATTTTCGGCACCCTTGTTTTTCAGGGCCAAACCTCCAACGACCATTAGCCTTCTCGATTGACCTGCTACGCCAGCGGGGCACTAATGCATTGGCACTGACGAATCTCATTCCCACGTAACGACTATCTGGATTATCATCCAGAAGCAGGCCTTTTACTAATACCTTTTCTATTATTTGTTTTCCTGTCTCCTGTGGTCGGCAAAATTGCTTAACTGGTTTCAGTCGCCAGGTAAGTTTTCTAGGAACTGTTGCAACGACGTGGTGGTTGTGAAATATTGACTTTACGTTTAAGGTACTTGACTAAGGTTTCAAGTGATCGAACCGACGCCTTATGGAACCGTATGCAGGCCAGCTTTGATACTCTTCGGTCTTACATCGATAGAGGGCACAGAATATATGGTATTTAGTCTCTATTTGCTCGTTTAGCCTCATTCTAATGCAGCCTCAGGCGTAAATACTGGCGTTCGCGGGACCTCCTACACCAGGAGGAACGAGCTCTTGACACTCCCATATTCTGCCTTTCAGCACCAGCAGTGCGGGATCTTGCTGGAACCCTGCGAAAATACCATGCCTGGGAGTTAGTATGCCGCAGGGCAATACAATATTCCAGATGACACCGTCCGCGACATGGTCGTCGTGCGCTGCAATTCCATCCTTCGCGGGCATTCCGGCGTCAGGATACACCTCGCCAAAGCTGAAGGCGCATGCACAGGACATTTCGCCATTGGTACCGCAACGTGGGAGCATCTCTGCATCTGGTGATCTAAGCCCACTTCCCTATTTGGGAGGTTTGGTGGAGCGTAATCCTGATATCCTGGTGAAGATGGAGGAACCGGATGAAGTCCAGGTTGTCACCGCCGACGAAGCGCTTAAGGCAAGGAATGCATGGAGAACTCTGACTAATGAGATATAACCTCCATGCCACCCAACTGCCAAGTGACTCTGCCAGAGCGAAAATACTTGGCAGCACGGCAAACCCACAGGGCTGTTAGTGGCCGGGAAACCCCCCGACATATAGGATGCCGCCAATGCAGGGCGGCTTATATCAGGTACTGCCCTGCCGATCTCGAAGATTGTTCGTTCAGTCTTCAGAAGAATCCTTTAAAAATGACATCAAGCCGTTGTAAAACTCTGAGAAGAATGATTGGCTGGGAGCAGTTCCTATACGTATGTGTTATATATAGACTAGCGTGCAAATGGTCAATGACTGCAGAAAATTTTAGCAGTAGCCACGAGCCTTGAATTAAACCTGGATTATTATGGTTCCTGTGCCCTGTTTTAATGAAGACTTTTCCTTTCCATTCATTGGCGGGATTGGGCAAGAATTGAATCTTGGTGGCGACTGACAGGTTTGCCGTTTTTGTGATGTAATATGTACCATATATCTACTCCGCATATAGTACTCAAGTCCTGGCATATATGAATTGCCCAGGATCATAACTTCAATCAAGTGCGTTTTCTGTATTTTCTTTTCGCTTGTGTTTCAGCTTCTATAAGCAGGATTCCATGGAGGCCGAAAACAATTCCCAATGGCATGAAATCAACCGTATGTGTACCCTCTATCACAGCTAATTGTCTAACATCAACAGATGTTCAATCTCACAACTGCCAATCGGATGAAACAATACAACAGCCGTCCCAAGACCATGAGGCAGTCCCCAATGCCCCCCAGCAATTTCCACTAAGAGGCTCAAGAGCCCCGCCGCCATACCCGGGCGGCGTCTACCTGCACCCCGATTACATGCACTACAACCCCCAATATGGCCAGCCGCAAAACGCCCCAATCTGGAGCCTGGCACAACCGCTGCCACATGTCATGCGGCCAGGAATGAAGAACAGGGAGGGTCAAGACACGGCTGCGGACAAACGACCCAACGCACACCAAGAAAAAGTCCCTGCGGCAGACGAGCCACCAACGGAGCACCCGCCTCACAATGACAAACTCAAAGCGGAAAAGGAACACCCCGAAGCTCGAGTCGCCCAACCAAACGAACGCGGCTTCTTCAACAAGTGGGGAGAAATCAGACACCAGTTCCGTGAGCCGCTGGCCGAGTGGCTGGGCACCACCATCGCCATGACGCTCGGCCTCTGCGCAGGCCTGCAGACGTTTACCTCGCAGAACCAGGCGGGGTCGTTCCCGTCCCTTGCGCCGGCGTGGGGCTTCGCATTCATGATCGCCATCTACATGGCGGGCGGGGTCTCAGGCGGCCACTTGAATCCGGCAATCACTATCAGCATGGCTGTCTGGCGAGGGTTTCCGGCGAGGAAGTGCATGGTGTACGTTGCCGCGCAGATCGTCGGCGGCATCACGGCCGGCGGGATCGCGTACGCGCTGTACCACGATGCGATTGTTGAGTCTGCGCTTGCGAACCATGTCACGCAGAGCGAGTCGCTGGCGAGGCAGGCGCTGCTTACTGCTCCGAGAGACTTCGTGCACCCTGTTACGGCGTTCTTTAATGAGTTTGTCGGGACAGCGATTCTGGTTGGCACGATTATGGCGCTGGGGGATGATACCAACGCGCCGCCGGGGGCGGGCATGCAGGCGTTTATCCTGGGGATCTTGATTAGCGTGCTTGTTCTCGCGTTGGGGTATAACACTGGAGGGTGAGCTGTCCTCCAAATCTTCAGTGATGCTTTACTGACCATGCAGGTGCTTCAACGGCGCCCGTGACTTCGGTCCCAGATTGGTTGCCCTCATGGCCGGCTGGGGTGGCGAGGTCTTCCGCGAGAAACATGGATGGTGGATTTGGGGACCCTGGGCCGCGGATATCACTGGCGGACTGTGTGGCACGTTCATCTACGATCTGGCTATCTTCACTGGGGGAGAGAGTCCGATCAATTATCCGCGTCGACGACGGAAGAGGGCGCTGCTGATCAAACAGAAGAATTTGATGTATAAGTTTCGGTTTGGGCGGAGGAAGATTAGGGATGTAGAGAGAGCTGTTCAGGAGGTTGAGCAGTAGCATTGCATACACACAGCAGTGATGGCGTTATGGCGCTGGGAGATGATTGACCGTGATGGCTCAGATAGACTAGAGGATAGACGTGTATATAGACATCCTTACTTTACGATCATCTGGTTGCAGGTTCCCTTTTGCATAATGAGTATACTAGTAGAGGACTGCTCTCACCGTAATGATGGCTTGGTTGCAAGTCGCAAGTATTGTACCACAATTCACATTGCCGAGCACTCAGAACAATCGTACAGCAGATAAGGTGATACTCTTCTCAAAAGGCAGATCAGTGCCATAAGTAAACACATATAGCCCAAAACTTAGAAGGCTAATGTACAATCGCACTCCTTACTGTGCCAAACATTTAAACAATGGCAGCATCATGAACTCAGCCCAGCTAACCGCCGAAACGCCGTATTCTCAAGTATAGGCATCTCCCCGACGATCTGAACATCCTTCCCGCCAACCAACCGATCCTCATACTTCCCCATCGCCATCTCTGTTAGGAACCTCCCTAGGTGCTCCGTTGGGCTACACAACCCCGGCGTCACCGCCCGAAATACAGGACCCAGGGGCCGGAACAAGGTCTCGTACGCAGGCCGCGGAGGGAGGTACTTTTTGATGGCTTCGTGGTGCGCGTGGTCTACAAACGCAGGCCGGACGGAACTCGTCCTAAATAGTGGGAACTGGCGACGTAACTCTGCGAGTTCGAGCTCTGTCTCGCCCTTGACGCGGGCGAACAGTGAAGTGAAGAAGCCAGGCTGCGTGGTGGAGCCTGCGCCGGAGACGTAGACGAAGTGGAAGGGCTGGTCTGGTGGGGGGAGAGTGCGGAAGGCTTTTGCGGCTTCGAGGGCGTAGTCTTTGGTGATTTTGATGTAGTCGCTTTTTGAATCAGCTTTCTTCGATTTGATATGTATGTGTGGACATGGCATACTCTTTGTTGACTTTTGTTTGACTAATACCCAGAGCCCATACGCAGCCTGTTGCTCCCTGGAGCTGGGAGAGGACAGTTTGGTCGTAGGTTTCAAAATCCTTGTGTACAATGACCTGCACTCGGGGATCATGGGCGTCCTCGGCCATTTTGACTGGTCGTCGGCTTAGGACGGATATTTTGGTGACTTCTTTCATGGCCAGCATGGCGTCGAGGACACCAGAGCCGACGAGGCCTGTGGCGCCGGTGAGTATGAGATGCATTGCTGTGGATGCGTGGTATCTCCAAATCAACTTTGTCTTGAGTTTAAAATTTCAAAAAGGATCGAGTAAGTAATCTGGGGTGTTCATGGATTATATACATCCGCTTGCGCTTACGCTTACGCTTACTGCGGAGTTATAGCGGAGATAGTTGATGTAGGCCTATGTCCGTCTGCAGACAGGAGACGCTGCTGTTCTTACTTGTCAACCATAAAGCACTCAACTAAAGATGCTAGAGTACCATTTTTAGTCCGATAGCAGTAGTGCAATACGTGTTCAACACTGGTCTGTAGTCCGCCAGTCTTAAATAGATCAGCGCCGTATATATTTCGTTGTAACGATGGTCATGCTGCTTACTCAGCAAGGGGCGTCGAAAAGTATGCTCCCTAGGGGAGAATCAACCATCTCACCCTACATTCTTGTACTAACCAGGGCTTATTCTTATGACAGATTATATCACTCTTACCTATCTGACCTACCACGAAGCTATTCAGAATGTCATATAGCCAATTAGGTACTCGGGATACTGGCCCAGCGCCAGGGCGGAAGAAAAGCGCATCTGACTGTACTCCGTAATTGAAAATGTATTGCCTTTAATGTTAGTGATTCATGTGATAATCATGATTTAAGTACATTGAACTGTTTCCAAGTTTAGGGTTGTTTACTGCATAGCAGTCTAGATACCCTGATACCCTGCCTTGATGAAATACCACGTGACAGCACTGCCTGAGGTGTCAGTGTAGGATGCCAGATGATGGCATCGGACGTGTCTTGCAGCCCCTTGTCCAATCATTCGGCCTGGAAATCTCTCTCAGAGATGACATCTTTGCAGGAAGTTGTAGTGCCGATCTCGGTTTTCTTCCAGGGGAAAGCGGTTAATGACGTCAGCGGAAGAGCCTGTGATCCATCATCCATCCAAAAACACTTAATGCACAAAGGAGTCGAGGTTATCTACACTCATGTCAACCCAGGAAGCAGGGTATTCTTGGTTTCCGGTTTTCTGTTAACATCATCCATCATTGTCTCCGCCGATCGATCGATCCTACCCAGGTACCGAGTATATAGTGTATAGGTACTGGCAGTCCGGCTATATGCTAAAATAGCCGACTCCGTTCCGCCTTCTTCTCGGTTCTGCCGCCGCCTTGTAACGATCGCGAGACACCTATGACGCCAGCGGCTGCAGCCATCTCAGCCCACAAATCACCGTCAGCCCATCTTTCTCATCCTATAGATACTAACACAACACCACCATTCCAATTGCTCCCATTGCTCCCATTGCGCGAGTATAAATGACTCGACGCTCTCGATAGCATCATCCAGGCTAACTAAATCTGAGTGTGTTGTTACGCTGTCACTCCGCTAGATCATGAGCTGATAGTTATAGATGGACTCGCCAGCCAGTTCAAACCAAGGCCGTGAAGGCGGGCCGCGCAAGTATGCCTTCAACCGCGAGGGCGCTCGCGAACGAGAAATGCACCTGTAATCAATTCGGCTGCACCTTTATACTGACCCGAGCTAATGCAAAGTCAGCTACCTCCCCTACTGGGGCTTCTCCGACTCCGAAAAGTTCGCCCAGCAGTCGACCGGAACACATCCGAACGTGTCGCGGGACAATGTCCTTACCGTCTTCGCACAGCTGGCCGCTCTGCGGATGCACGCTGCGCGTGCTCTCATCTCCCTGTTTGACAAGACAACGCAGCATGTCGTTGCGGAGGCTACGCCAGATCTGAGTCTGCGGGCTGCCGACGGTCGCGACCGAACAGATGCGCTGTGGCTGGGGGTGCGCCGGCTGCCGCGCAAGAAGGTGACCATGTGCTATCATGCCGTCAAGTCGTTTATCGACGAGGGACGGGATATATTCGTGGCGAATGATTTGACGAGCGACGACCGGTTTAAGAATCATCCCTCGGTCACCGGCCATCCACACAACCGGTTTTATGTCTCGGTGCCTATCACCTCGCCGGATGACTATGTCATTGGGAGTCTGGCGGTGCTGGATGATCGACCGCGGGACGGCGTTACCGAGGACCAGGCACATCTTCTCAAGGAGCTCTCGGCGACCATCATGGATCATCTGCTGTGTCAGCGAGCGATGCGGGAGGAGTACCGTGAAGAGCGGATGGTGCGTGCGCTCGGTTTGTTCGTCAAAGGCAAGTCCGATCTCAATGAGTGGTTCGACAGTGGAGATGCTCGGGATCAGAAATACGGGGGGCAGTTTACTGCTTTGAACAAGAGGTTGGAGAAGCTACAGGCCACTGGGCCTAGAAAGGAGGATGGCATGGACGGCATAGACGGCATGGATGGAATGGATGGCATTGATGGCATGGATAACGACGGCATGGATGGCATGCATGACAAGGATAACGATGGCAAGGATGACGATGCTGGCAATGGCCAGGACAAAGATATGCCACAGGTTGGCTCAAAGCACAATCATGGCAAGCAAGGATCCCCCATCCAAAGATTTAAACAAGGTGGAGAGGATGAGTCAGACTCACAAGAAGAGAAAGACGGCAAGTCCGACGCAAAGAGTCGCAAAAAGGCGCGACCAACGCTCTCCCCCACTACCAGCCAGTTGCAGGATTCCCTAGCCCCCAGCAACGTCCGGTCCGTAGTCAACCGCGCCGCTTCGATGATCTACCAGGCCCTCGATGTCGAAGGCGCCATGTTCATCGATGCCAGCGTGTATGCACGACGGCAGACAGTGGGATTCACCGAATCAAAACTTGATAACCCTGAAGCTGACAATGGTCAGCAATCCCCGGACACCAATGGCGGAGAGGAGCAGGGCCCACCGACGTCCAACCCTGAGTCTCGTTCCGATACCGACACTTCAGATGACGACTCGCAGTCCCGAAGCCTGGTGCTCGGTCATTACACCTCAAATACCTCCGAGGCAGGAGTCAACCTGAGCGACAGCCATTACGTCTCGCTATCGGGTAGTTTTGTCAACCATCTCATCGACCAGTATCCCCGGGGTAAGATCTTCCATATCGAGGAAGATGGGTCCATTTCCCTGAGCTACGAGGGCCTCGCCGATGATATGAATTACTCCCGGACAGGGAGCCGTGGAGCAATGTCGACGGAGCCAGAAAAGAAGGATATCCAGCAGGAGACAAAGGACATCAAGCAAATGATGAAGATTCTTCCGGATGCGCGATGTATCGCCGTCTATCCCGTCTGGGACTTCCAGCGGGGCCGCTGGTTCACTGTCTGCGTGGTATGGACCAATGACCCAGGCCGAGTGTTGTCGGAACCCAAGGACTTGACGTACCTGGCGGCCTTTAGCAACACCGTCATGGCCGAGGTGTCCCGGTTGGACTTGGAGGCGGCCGACCGAGCCAAGAGCGACTTCATCTCGTCCATCTCGCACGAGCTGCGGTCCCCTTTGCATGGGCTTCTCGGCACGGTCGAGTTGCTCCAGGAAATGGTGAACAGCTATGCTCAAAAGTCCCTCATTGAGACGGTCTACAGCTGCGGCCGTACATTACTGGACACATTGAACCACCTCCTGGATTACGCGAAGATCAATACGCTCACTCGTCCGCGTCCGTCAGACAAGGCTGGCGTGCCTGGGTCCAGGGATGTGTCCAAGCCCCAGACCGCTGTTCCTGGCTCTCTTCAGGACGAGAACCTCAGCGTGCTAGCACAAGAGGTCGTGGAGGGTCTTCTTGCCGGCGCAGAGTACCAGCGTCGCGGCGCAAACGGGGATAGTGACGCGCTAGCCAAGAAGGAGGATCTCGGCCCGAAGAACCGTCTCATCACGATCGTCGATATTGAGTGGCAGGACAGCTGGCGGTTCAGTATATATGCCGGTGCCTGGCGCCGAGTGATCATGAATCTCTTCGGCAATGCGCTCAAATACACCCAGGCGGGCTACATCCGGCTGCGGATGAGACGCGATAGCTTGCTAGTGGATGGCAAGAAAATCCCCGCGATCCGTATGACGTTCAGTGACTCGGGCCGCGGCATGTCCAAGGACTTTCTCACAAATCATCTCTACAGCGCCTTTCTGCAGGAGGACACGACCTCCCCGGGTCTAGGAGTCGGTCTGCATCTGGTCCATCAAATCGTCAAGTCTCTCAAAGGACAGATCAAGTTCAACAGTGAAGTGGGTAAGGGAACAGACGTCGACGTTGTGCTGCCTATCGAACTGCCAGAGGTGTCCGCTCCTCCCTCGCCTCGCTCATTTGCCCCCTTGAAGGATCAACTGAGCGGCATGACGGTTTCACTTTTCACGCGCAGCTCCAAGTTGGGCGACCTCGGATTCGACCCTCGGATTTTCGACCGCATCCGGAGCAGCCTTGGGCGCATGGTGTCCGGCTGGTTTGGACTCCGCGTCCTGACGCCCGACGAGCTCGATTCCACCAGGCCAGATTTTGCCATTGTGACGGAACATGAGTACCGGAACTACTATATCGAAGGGTCGAACGAGCCCAAGCCAGACAGTGGGGAGATCCAGCCTGCTCTCCCGTTGATTGTTCTCTCCGCCCGAACGAGTAGCTGGAAGACATTGGGAGACAGCGTCGAGGATTCGGTCATTTTCCTCACCCAACCGTAAGTGGTTTGCACAAAGAATTATGAGCATTGCTAATAAGGATAGGGTGAGCCCGAAAACACTGGCCACGGCGTTTGAGCATTGTCTGGGCCAGCCAGAGCGATCGAGCAGTTGCTCGCCCCGGAAGCAGCCATCACCCGTGCCGCCTGTGGAGGACGCGATTCCAGACATTAATAAAATGTTCGAGGGCAGGGTGAACGGAGAGAAAGACCGGGTCCTAGAGCCTGTCCTTGGACGGACAGTCAACGGTGAAGCCGGGCAGAAGAACGTTGATGGACAGGAGGACAGGAAAGAAGCGAAAAATATCCTTCTCGTAGAGGATAACCAAGTCAATCTGAAGGTGAGACTGCTCAACCTGAACGTTCCTTACCATATCTCTAACATGGACAGATCATCGAAATGTGCGTTAAGACCGCCGGGTTCACCTACGACACGGCAAAGAACGGGCTCGAAGCATTGGAAAAGTTCAAGGCGGGTACATACAACGCGGTCGTCATGGGTTAGTCGTCCTTAATCATTTCTCCGTTCTCCGCCTTCTAACTTCTTGCAGATATTTCTATGCCGGTTATGGACGGCCTGACGGCCACGCGGCAGATGCGCGGGTTCGAACGAAAGAAGAAGCGTCCCGCGACCACTATTATCATCTTGACTGCTGTCCTCTCCGCGTCGATGCAGCACGAGGCCATGATGAGCGGGGTGAATCTGTTCCTGACCAAGCCCACGCCGCTGAAGCAACTCAAGGAGATCCTGCGGAATCTGTCGGATGGGAAGGACGTGTCGCAAAATTAGTTTACGAGTCACGAGTTACGTATGGCGTTGGGATGGATAGTATGGGTACACTGGCTAGAGATATATGGTATTGTTGCATTAATCATCTCATGCAAGGGTCCTAACCGGTCGGCTTTTCTGAATAAATCCTGCTCATTATATGATTCTCTACTTTTAGTACTTGTTACTGTCAGTCATGTATAGATTATAACGGCTTATACACGAGTGGATTGCAGGGTACTCACCTCACACATATAAAACAAGCCTGTTATCTCCCACTTCACTTTAAAGTATGGGAACTAGTCAACCTCTAGCATGAGCAACCTAACAGCCACTAGCTGCACCCACTTCAAGTAAGAAATAGGATACGTCTGGCACCCACAACACCCTAACTACGCCTGTGGAGCAGGGACAGCCACCAGGGTACGCACACCCCAACAGCCAACAAAAGCACACGCTAACAATCCTATGACATGACAAGCCCTCCTCCTACTCATAACACAAGCCATCGGCCCCGATCTATCAGATAATATGGCTGCGGAGTATAACAACTGGGCTCGGGTGCATGGCTGCCCGCCTGAGAAGATGCGGGCGTATCACCTTGGTCTACTTGACCTCGCTGCAGCCGGAATAGATGGCGTGGAGCTCTCCGGGTAAGATATAGTTGTTGTTTGCATGGTGCTGCATCAAGTTACCGATGCGCAGCAGTTGCTTGCTCGGCTGGCGGGGTGTTTGAGGCTTGGGGGGATGTGTCTTGTTGTTGAAGGGGTGTCGACGGAATCACCCCTGGCGTCGCTGTCGGCATCACGAGGTGAAGATATGGATACAGCTGATCTACGGGCTGTACTAGAGCCTGAGCAGCTGGGTGTGCTGGAGACGATTAACAAGCATGGGTTACAGAGGAGGAAATGCTGGCGTTGTATGAAGGCGCTGGGCTGGGGCGGAACTTTGAGTATAAGGTTATTGGGCGGTCGTTGAGGTTTACCATTTTTGCATATGGGTTTAGTAGAAGGGTTTTTATTGTTAGGGAGGAGAGAGTGATTTCCTAATGGTTTGGCTGCGTGTGCTAGCTAGAAACTGCCTTCGTACAGATCATCTAGGTAGCTGCTTTCTTTCCTGCGAGCAGAATATCCATATCTTCGGCGACTAATTGCTGCACGATACCAGCAGCAACCGTGGATCCTAGTACAGATTGTTAACAAATGATAAATCAAACAGGGTGAAGGCAGCTGCTTACCACTACCCATCGCATTAGTAACAACCTTCATCGGAGTCGCAGCATCCCCCGCAATAAAAAGTCCCCGGACATTAGTCGAAAACAGCTGATCGACCTTGACGCTCTGCCCCAGGATCGGGTCATCTTCAACCTCGACCCCAAGGTGGGTAATCATGTCTAGTCCCGCCAGGACAGTCCGCGGCTTGTGTGCGAGGTATCCCATGTTATACTCCTTGCCGCCTTCAAGGACGACCCTAACACCCATGTCAGGTTCAGGGATAGGAACCAGTCGGAGAATCTTCTCCGTCTCAATATTACACTGGAGTGCGTTGACCTTCTCCATTGCCGCCTTCATCGCCTCATCCTCAGGAACCGGCCCGTCCGTAAAGACAGTAACAGGGCCAGCCGTAGGCGTGACAAGGAGATGCATCATCTGCGCCAACTGCGCATACATTGGCTGCGGGAAAGTCAATATGCCCCCTGGAAGATGCGATCGCTCGTGCCCATCACAGAAGAGACACTGGAAGCTAGCAGGATCAGAATCATCCCAGCAAAGGCAAAATGTGGCAGCTTACATATTCTGCGGCCAGTTCTCCGCGTACCCCTCTATCTCAGGAACCACATCAATGCAGCCCATTGCCAGTGCCAGCTTTCTTCCCTGCCAGGTCCGCCCATCGGCGGCAGTGACGTGAAAGGTATTAGCAGCGCCGTTTTGGGTGTATGCTTTCATGGCCACAATCTCCGCCTCGAGGAAGTCGACCGTCCCGTACTCCTTGATCTGGTCTGTTGCGATGCGCCGGAATTCCTCTGGTGGAGTGCTATCCTGTGAGATGACATTGTGCATCTCGTGGACTCCTGCATTGCGGAACCCTGCGCCCCCTGGTTTGGTGAAGATGGCTGCTCGGCGATGGGTACGGCTCAGCCCGAGAGCGATGGAGAGACCGGCGGGGCCGGAGCCGACGATCAGGGCGTCGTATATTGCCATGCTGTGTAGGTGGAGTGGGATGGATGGTTTCTGATCGCCGGAGATCATCATTGTGTAGATGACGTAGGAAGATGGTAACTGATAGTCCCACCAAGGTCCCCGACTTAAGTCCCGACAGATCTGATTCACCCAGCTGCCTCAAGTAAAAACAATCGTCCAGAAATTCACCGAGTTAGTCCTTGCCATGGAAGAGTAAGACACGTTTGCTCCTCAGCGTGGGGAGCCGTCCGAGAGACAGCTCAGCAAGAACATGCGCAGAATCTGCCATTCACTGTCAGAGCAGCATTACCACCTCTTGCAATTTTGGAATCGTCAGACCCAAATCTTCTTAATTTTCGCTGTCGCTTACGTCCGGCGTATGACACCACCGGTATGGTATGACTGCTTTGCGCTGCGGCAGTTATGGCTATGGAAGGTCGATAGAGCTCTTCTCCAGCGGAGCAGAGTCTGCGACAAGATAATGTGGATATAGTCCTGGTCACACCTCCCTATGCCCTGCCGTGAAGTGAATGCTCCTCCAAACATGGTGTCCTAGATTGTTACTCCATTTTAGGTGCGCACTTCAAGAAAGTCTTGACCCATTTACTGACAGATTAAAGGTTCTGAACTGTGTTACAACCAGATGAATTCGGCAGCCCGTCAGCACTTGTACGCCGCGCGAACAGCAGAGCCCAGGAGGACATGCAAGAGCTTTTCAGCACGCTGATCTTATCATACACTATGTCAGAAGCTTCGCGAGAGATCTGGAAAAGACATGTTGTCCCCCTTTATCCAAATCTCACTGTGGAAAAGATCCGGGCTTATATGACCGAGGGCCGAGATTGGGTGCGAGAGGGATCCTGGCGGCTGGCAGATCTCATAGTATGCAATATGTCCTTCTACAATGGGTTGCTGGGAGACGTAGACCCAATTAAATGTCCCATTCCGGACTGACACTGGGACGACCCTCCTGAAGGTGACCTCGAAGCCCGGGATCTGGATGAAAGATCCGCCCGGTCTTTTAGGCGCCGCATTGGCGGCGTAATCTGGGTTGTGCAGTCATTAGCTGTGAGTCCACGAACCATCTAAAGCTCTATTGACTACTAATTTACAAAATCCAGTACAGAAATAGGGGTCGGTGGCCACGCGATCACCCTATCTGGAGCGCGGGATATGGATTTCAAGACAATGACAACTGCTTGAGTACAGATGTTGGAACTCAGCCAGTTACTTGACAGAACCTGGAAAACTTCGTGGTGGAACATGTCCCTGAATTATAGACTATTCCTGATTTTATCCAGGATGCTCATAATGGTGTTATGCATTCTGGAAGAGCACTGGTATACCCTCCCCTCTCCGCTGATTTCATCCGGCAAGGTTTGGATGCACCGATACTTAGCAATCCACCCCCTATGAGGGGAGGTGCCTAATCGGATCAGCCCATCGTGCAGATAATGAACGCACTTGGCAGCACAAGCAATGACGGAGGGTTCGTTCTATTTAATAGTGAACTGAACCAGGTAAAGAAAAATGGATGTAAATGATTAATGCTGCGGACACCTAGTGCATACTGACTATGTCCAGCTTTGGATGGGGAAAAGACCTTATAAGAACGAAAATATGGAGGAATATGTTAAGGATGATAACTACACAGCTACACTAAACCGCATGAGAGCGGCCGTTGCAGTTATCCATTACTTAAATCATCCTGTCATCAACTCCCACATGGCAAGCTCGCTGAATGAAGTGCGTTCAGAATTAGGCCTAGCTAATAATAGGTGGGCGGACCTTGGAAACCGCAGAGAGTATGCACAAGAGTAGTGGAGTATATAGGTCAGGGACCATTTCCATCAAGTGGGCCTTCATACTCATAGCTGGGTTGACAGATGGGCCACGGCAATGGGCAGGTATTGGGCGACGCAGACTAGACTTATGGTGGTGTAGGTACAGGAGGTTCTTCGCACTTTAAGGGACATAGATACCACCATAAACCAGGATGATCTAGATTAGATTGTACATATGAACATTGACAGCGCGTGGTGGACTATTCTACCTTGGCATACCCTTGGCAAGGCCGAGGAGGGTATAAGTATCCACTCAATTTCCAACTCAAAACCTCTCTCCTACACTCCATTAATTGCCTTAGGAATTTCTTTCCTCCGGTTCCTATCTCTCCTATATTTAATTACAAAGAACATGGTGCCCACTCCTTCCCAACGTCTCATAAATAGGCTTCGACTCCCTAAAGCACCATCCTGGGGTTTCGTGATTTACCGCACCACATACAGCCCTCAATCCTACCGCCAATTTCCCCGAATCATCGAACTAACAAATTCCTGCATAAAACAGGAAATCCTCGAAGAATATGCATGGTGTAAAGACTACTATGCCGGACCCCCCGAAGAACTCAAAAATGGCTACCAGCTGATCAGCGCTAAACACCGCCCCATCATCATTGAAGACCGCACCCAGCTCAATGGCATCTCGCTCCACAGCGTGCGATCCCACTACGAATCCTGGATCGATGACTACGCCAGCGGTAGAGGAAGAGAGAACTATAAGTGGGGCTACTCTACGCAGCGCCACGTGTGTCTTGTTGTCGACGAGGAGGTGTGTCAGGCTTTAGGAAACGCCGATGAGAGACTCATCGGAGAGGCCGCGGGGGAGTATTATAAAAAGTTATGGGTGAAGGCCGTTGAGCCTTGGCCAGAGATTGATGAGTGGGAAAGGGAGGCCACTGGCTTTGATGGGACGATGAAGGTCTCTATTTTTTCACTTTTTAGGTTGTGGACTCTTATGGATGATCCGTATCCGATGTGGATGATGAGGAGAGATGCAAATGGGTTGTGTACCGCGTGAATGGATGCAAAATCAAGGGAAAGATACTACCGTACGGAATATGCAAAGCAAAGCCACGGCACGGCAGAGACGCTGCCGAACCTTTCTCGTCTACCTGTACTCTAGCTAATGTATATGGTTTCGGGGGCACTTCCACTGCGGGCCTATCTTCTCTATATAGAGGTGGGGAACAAGGGATAGCGATGATCATATTTTTATGTACCAGTGATATAGTACCTGTAAGGCATAGATTAAGCTTCCTATCATGATCATAGAAAGAATTTTGATCAGGGTCAGGATGCTAGGAACAAATCCTACAAAGGCCTTATAAACATCACCCAAGGGTGCGTCTGGTGATTTGGTTGGGAAGTTAGACGGACAGCTGATCAGGAATATACAATGTTAAGTTCGCCTTTGTGGACTACAGGACCGCAACGCAAGCGACCCAAGCTGTCAGGGAATTGAACCTTTTCCCTCTCGACAAGAAGCACACACTTAACGTGAACAAGCTGACGGACATAGGTTGGACGGCTCCTGTCAAGGGCGATGGACTAAATTATGATGAAGTAGCGGCAGTATACTAAAGAGGCCAAACTGGTGTCACGATAATGCCCTCTTACGTTGGGATTGTTTAGGATTTGAAGAGGCAGCAAATACTTCATTAAAGACTAAATGAATTAAAAAACGACCGCCATATAACAGTCCGACTACCACAAGATGGGTGACGCCATGCATCAGAAGCAGTTGATGCTGGCAGTACGGAAGCCCAGGGTAGAATTTTGACTATAAGATAGCGTTTTGTTTGAAACCCTCTCCCTGCTTTTGCCGCCAAAACACCAATTTATCCGGCGTATTGTCCCCGCTGCAGAGGATACGTTGCTGACGCAGTTCCTCGAATTCGGAGGGGTCGTGTAGGTTTATGGAGACGAGTGCACCAGTCATGGTGTTAGGCGACCTTCCTTCGTTCCAAGGGTATGGACGGAGCTCAAGGAACTGAATAAAATAACTTGGTATCCATGGCGAGTTTCATCTCTTTATTCAAGACCATACTTGGTTAACCAACTTAGTTAACCATCAGTGACCCCCACCGTCATCCAAGACAGTAAAGCGTCCCAAACGGGTTAGCCGGCCTCAGCTGGAGGCCTTGTAGCCTTGTGACATTGCTACCTATTGTGGGCCGGGTGCCTAAAGATGCCAAGCCCATGCATGCCTGGTCGTGCCTGATTGTACCTTGACCCTGCAACTAGTTGACAACCAGCTGTCAGTCGGGATAGAATTGAGTATAAAGCGTGGGCCATCGCTTCACCCTGGCCAGTGTCAATGCAATGCCCTTCTGCTCTTCCTTTCATATACGAAGTGCCATTTACTTGCTCAGCAACTCCCCTATCTCTCAATCCTCCAACAAACTGTACAAAAACGACCCCGTCTTGAGAGCTGCGCGAACCGTCACCCATCCTAGTGTTAATGGTAGAAGGCATTTTTCTCTCAAGAATCACTTTCTACGCCACTCTACGCCTAGGCCTGAATCCGCCCCAATGTCCGCCGTAGAGTCAACTCGCTTCGAGCTTCCTGGGCTTACTTTGCCCCTTTATTTCCGGCCCCATGTATGTTTCCAGCTTGTGTGCTGAGGCGACTGATACTAATAAATTTAAGCGAGAATGGACAGATGTTGTTTACGCCAACGCTTTGGATGAAACCGATATCGAAAATGGTTATGTTGGGTAAGTGTTGCGTGGATCAGAGCTGCCATGGGTTATGAGAAGAGACGTTAAATCAGGCAGTTATATGTTCACGCTGAGGGAGCTCTCTATGATGCGTATAATGGAGGCAATCACTGATAAGCCGGATTGGGATAAAAAGGTGCGTGATTGATTAACTCCCTTTTAAAGCCCTTACCAACGCAAGCTAGGTTTTCAATCAGGAGATAACCGATAAATGGCGAAAAGAAATCTCCGATAGCGGCCAAGATATCACTGAACGGATGATTGAGTATATCTTCGCGGAGCTCCGTTGGAAATCTACGGAATATAAAAAGACGGGAATACTAACGTCATACGATCCCGGTGTGGTCAAGACAGATGTGGCCATTCCAAAGGAGCTCAAGCAGCAGCTTCGGGACCTTGTCAAGCCCCTTGAAGACGTGCCGGAAGAGGAGAAGGACTATCACCCTGGGTCTGACGACAAGGTTGTCGACCTGGTCCACCCATCGCTCTTCCCACTTGTGTATGGTCGCACCAAAGTCCTCGGCGACAAGCTGATTGGGCTCGACGACTGCTTTCTATATGTAGGGCAGGGGGAGATGACAAGAATTTCAGATTCACCACCAGAACGTCTTCGTCGGATGTCCGACCATGATCCGTACAGCCGCCATTTTCAGTGGCTTCCATGTGAAGTCAAATTCAATGGCAATGGCGAGTGTCAGATCGCTTCATACATCAACAATCTGCACCCAGCCAAGCACCGAGACCTGTACCACGTGATTGAAAAGATACTCACACAGATCATTCCTCTGTGGAATATATCCCTAACACGAGACTATAATATTCCACGTCGGATCCAGTACAACGAGGTTGAATACCTTCCGAGCGCGGAGCCTGAACCTCAGCAGGGGGATGACGAATCAGACGACGACGCATTCTATGAGCGCTTGGAGGAATGGCGGGATGCCCGACGGCTTAAGCAACCTGAGCCGGCCAAATTTGAGCCTCCTACGGATCATCGTCAAAACGCAGTCGATCTGCAGTCAATGTTTGCAAAGGAAGGATTGCAAGTAATTGTCAAGCTGGCCAACATCGAGCTTACACCTGAGGAACCAGAGTATGAAGGGGGCTCCTGGCACATTGAGGGACAACTGGTATGGCAAATTCGTCCACGGCACATATAAGCTATTAACCAAGATTAGAACGAGCGGATTTGTGCTACAGCGATTTACTATTATGACTCTCAAAACATCACCGACAACACCCTCTCCTTCCGTCACCGTGCCGATGACAGACATTTTGATGACTTGTACTATGAACAGGGCGAGTTCCAATTCTTGCGTGTATTCGGTTTTGAGCCCAGTGCCGGCGGCTTCAGCGACGAACAGATAACCCAAGACCTGGGAGCGGTAACCTGCCGTGAAGGACGCCTTTTGACGTTTCCGAACACACTGCAGCACCGCGTCTCTGCCTTCTCGCTCTCTGATCGCTCTAAGCCGGGTCACCGCAAGATTCTCGCGCTTTTCCTCATTGACCCTAGCCGACGAATTATTTCGACCGCTAATGTCCCGCCCCAGCGAGAGGACTGGTGCAAGGAATGGAAGCAGTCCGTCGACGACGTATTGGGGAAGCGATTACCGGTCGAGTTGCAGAATATGGTGCATAAGACCGTTGACTTTACACCGATGACTATGGATGAAGCCAAGGAGTATCGTTTGAAACTTATGGACGAGAGGTCTCTCAAATCTACCCAGACCAATCGTGTTTTCGAAACAGGGTCGTTCTCTCTATGCGAGCACTGAGTTTCCCCATCCTTTTCCAGGTCCACTATTTCCGTACCCCACTCTTCTATGGACTTTTCTTCTAATATTACACCTAGAACATGAGGACCTGTGAAATCAACACCAAAAATGACCACTACAAAGGGCCATAAACAGCTACATTTCCACCTGTATTTTCCCTTAGCAAGCCACCACTTTAGTACTTAAGTACATACTACACACCACTATTCTGCACCCACTAAGCATTATTTAGTTATCATCCTAAGGTAATAAATCTTAGTAAGAAAATACTTGGTGGTCGTCACAAACCCCCTTGCTCAGTCACCTAGACATAACTCACTCAGTTAGCACACTCATCAGAGCACTTAACCCTAAAAAAGGCAACAAGGCGTACCCAAAGAGTCAACTCCTCTATTTTGTAAGATGCTATGTGCCTTAGATGTCAGTGGCTATGGCGAAGTAGGGCCTTTGGCTTCAGTCTGAGCTCTCTAGTCTTGTCAAGTGGTCGCAAACCTCCGTGGCCATATGGCTGCACATGCTTCTCACATCTGGCTTCAATGACCATCGCAGCCTTGCTTTTACACAGCTGCGCCGACATTTGGGGCTTAATGAGTGGGCAAGGCGTGAGATGGGATTTAATAATGCAAAAGAACTCAAGGCGTTCGTATCGCGGAAGGTGGGCGAGTCGGCTAAGTATGATGAGGCCTTGGAGGAGATGGAGGAGAACAAAGTGCTCATGGAGAGTGGGAATATGACAAAGAAGGAATTCATTGCCAACGCTCTAGAAGAGTCAGGCTGTAAGCCCTGTTCCTCGTCGTTTATGATTAATTTTGAGATGAGAGATGACGAGTGGTTGTTCCATAGGGTGGCTCAGCTTGCAAGCTGCAAAGTTGAGATCGCCGCATGGATGGGATGAGGAGAGATTGTATGATGACTGCTAACATGGCTGCCTTCAGGAGTTGTATGACCTAAAGCTTGCTGTGTATAAGACATGAGAAACTACTGGCTTCCATATAGTAGCCTTCCGAGGACTTTTTTCATCAATCCTGTAACTGTAAGCAGCACCGGCTCCTGGCTTCAAATATTTACTGTTTCAACTCAGGAAAATGAAAGATTAGGTATACATTCATCCAGTATACAACCCGTCCTTATCCCTCCTCAACATCCACATCGGGTATGGATTATCCATATGACCCCACAGTCTCCAAAGCGCAAGAACAGAGGCCTTCATCGTCCCATCAAATCCAGTGTGCTCTCTCTCCAACTCATCAATCTCCGGCCATGGCTCAACGGCCTTCAACCACCACTCATCCAGATACTGCCAAGAATTCTTTTCCTCCTCTGAGCCCTCCCAGAATGGTTTCGCGTCAGCTTTTGCTAAGACCTGACACACCTCCTCATCGACGACAAGACACACGTGGCGCTGCGTAGGATGGCCCCAGTCCTGCTTCTCTCTGCCCCTACCGCTGGCGCGGTCGTCGATCCAGGTTTCAAAGTGGGATCGCACGGAATGGAGCGGGATACTGTCAAGATGATTGCAGTCTTCAATTATGACAGGGTGGTGTTGGGCACAGATTAGCTGGTAATCTTTTCTGAGCTTTTCAGGGGGACCCAGATAATGTTCTTTGACCGTTGCATATTCTTCAACGACATCTCATTTTATGCAGGAGTTTGCCAGCTTGATAATTAGGGGAAATTGGCGGTAGGATTGAGGGGTGTATGTGGTACGGTAGATGATGAAGCCCCAGGTTGGTGATTGAGGGAGTCGCAGCCTAGATATGAGTCGTTGGGTAGGAGTTGGCAGCATGTTATCCCCGCAATTAAATATAGGAGAGACGGAAAATTAACAGATCGGGTGATTGACGGAGGTTCGGGGAGAACCTTGAGAACCTCCCCATGGAAATTGGGCGGACTGCATTGTCGATTGGTGTGGTTCTGCCACCGCTCCACTGACCCTTTCTTTATACAGAAGGGTTTCACGAGATTGCTGTAAATTGGGGCCCGACTATGGTTCGCGTGCACAAGTCTAATAAACCCATGTTGGCTCTGATACTGACCCATGGTATTATGTTTAGATGCGGTCAGCGAATCTAATTTTAAGACGACCCCGGGCCAGACCCTCCCAGCTTGCCCCTCATATGCAAGGGCAAGGTCGAGTCGAGATCGGGGCCCACATGGGCATTCTTATATAACCTTTAATATCAAGATTTCATGATGTTCGTAGCATTTTTTAGTGGCGTAAATGGTGCGGCAACCGACACCAAATTCCTCTGCTATTTATGTTGGCAATCCCTAGTTGTCTAGGCCATATAAAATAGCTGCGCGTGAATCAGATGATACTTCAGCTTTAGGCCTTCTATGTCCACTAATTTTGGTGCCAAAAGACCTCATCTTGATGGAATAGGTAATGGTTGAAATGATTGTTGATTTTTTGACGCGCTGTGGATATGCGGAGTGTGCACAGACTTTTGACCCCCTATATAGCATATGATGTGTATTGTGAAAGTTGAATTTCGTCAGTAAATTGCTAGGCATACTAGATAGTGTTGGATAGGTTCTCAATGATAGTATCTCGGGAAGTCAGATATTACTAAGATATACGACTCTAGCTAGATATATGCAGAATTTATACTAGTTTTCTCGAATTTAATTTCGACGCCTAATAGGTTTGTGGTTCCAATATGGAGTTGACTATCCATTTCTAGATGGGGCTAAGACAAGCTGAAAACGGAATGGTGAACACAGATAGAGGATTGCCACGCAGTTAAATGTATGACGCTAGCCTTGGGGGCTCACATATCAGCCGAAGTGACAGGCCACAACACAGATTATTTACATCATATGATGCCCCTATCGAGGGAATGTTCCACTCCCTTTGAGTCAAACTTTGGGTTTGGGCCTATGTTTTGCGCCCCCGTCGATCTTCTGTGGAAAGAAGGGTTAGGCATCAGGTTACCAAACCAAATGAATTGGACGGAATTTAGTTCGATGTGGTCTCGATCCAGCCGCAAGCGGAAACAGAAACATCCGCATGTATCTGTGCCAAAGTCTGACTGGGTTTACGGCTTAAGCACGAAGACTGCAAAATCCATACATAACCGATGGTCCCCTTCAGCGTTGGAAAGAATGATTTTCTCCTCACAAATACACGCTGTTCATCCGCTCCCTCGCGACAGCTACCGAGATGCCATACAAAGCTCTTGTGACTGAAAACGGCGTCGTGGCCCGCACGCTGCTCAAACGCAACGTGGACACGAGGGTTCACTACGATGTGATCGTCGTCGGCTCTGGTATGGGCGGCGGGGTCCTGGCGAGCGCGCTTGCGGACGCTGGAAAGCGGGTGCTGATCCTGGAGGCTGGATCCCTGCTCTTCCCGACCCACATTGGAAACCTGCCCCGACGCTTGCTCATCGGCAAGTTCCAGAAGCACATCTGGTCGCTGTGGGAAGATTTCAAGGTCATCAACTACAATAACGTACAAGGGTCGGCGTACCAGGGTGGCCAGGGCTTCAATCTGGGCGGCCGATCCATCTTCTGGGGAAGCTTCATTCCGCCGCTGGCGGGCTGGGAATTGGACATGTTTCCTGCAGCGGTGAAGCAGTATCTCCTCAATGCTGGCCCGACGGGTGGCTATCCGGTGGCTCGCAGGATATTCAATGCAGATACCCCGGCGCCGAGCAACTTTCAGACCACATCGAGGAATACCTTGGACCAGACTCTCCCCGGTTGGAACGCCGAGGACGCCTCAGTAGGTGTCGAATATACGGGAGCGACCAATTGGTCCATCCCGGCCGGTATCTTTTCCACAGCGGACCTCATCATTGAAGATCTGTTGGTGCAGAGACCGCCCAATCTGGGCTCCGAGCGAGAGCCCCTGACGGTCAATCTCAATCACGCCGCCTGGAATGTCACGTTTGATGCTGGCGATAACAAACGCGCGACCGGCGTGCATTGCTTCGACCTGCTCGACAAGGTCGAGCGGACCTACACCGCCGACACCATCGTTCTCAGCGCTGGTACCCTTGAATCCGCGAAAATAGCTCTCCTGTCCGGTATCAACAACCCTATGATAGGGCGCGGCGTCACAGACCATGCGATCCTCTACCGTCACTTCGTCATCCCCCCAAACGCCCTCGCCACCACACCACCCTCCGAAACAGAGCCAAAGTCCGCCAAGATTCTCCTCAGGCACCCGTCCGCCTCCCGCGATGCTCACGCTTTTGACATCATCGTCGAGCTCGGGGCGGAGTTCAACCAGGGCCGCTACGTGAACCCAGAGCACCTTGAACAGGACGAGAACATCCGCGCTGGGTACATGCTTTGCGAGATCGTCTTCCAGTTCTACTCCCCCCTCCTCGACGCCAACGCCATCACCCTCAAGAGCAGCAACCCCGCCGACCCCGTCAACGTGTTCATGAATGCTGCCCCCCCGGTCCAGCGTCTCATCAACGAAGCCCGCCAGGTCGCAACCCGCGTCTTCAAGGCCTATAGCGCCCAACCCGTGTTCGACGAGCGCCCCCTGTTCGCCGCCGACGGCCTAGCGGACCTAGACACCGCGGAAGTGGGCGGCGTGGCGCATGAGGTCGGGAGCTTGCGGATGGCGGGCGATGGAAACGGTGTCGTGGACGCGGACCTCAGGTTTGTAGGATACAAGAACCTGTACGCGTGCGACAACTCGGTCTTTCCCATGTCGCCGGCGGGAAATCCGAGTCTCACGCTAGTGGCGTTGGCGAAGCGGTTGGCTGACCATATCTAGGCCATAAAGTGAATATCATAAGTAGCAGATATATCGTTCTTCTTTAAAACCTTCAGGTAAATGCATGTAAATATCTATGTTAAGGTCACTGTGAAGGGAGGCCATCACCATATTAAACTAGTAAAGCTTCCATCCCTTCAGAACAGCTGTAGCTACAAGAAGTCGTCTAGAGGGCCGTTGTCGCCGCCCAAAGAACGAGCATCCCAGGTCTGGTTAGGGTTTATTGCTGCATTCCTAAATGCTCACGACAGTGCCCTTTTGGCTTCAACGTACTCAAGGTGAGTCATGGCGTTACCAGCCTTGGTCTATGTGCACCGTGTGTGTTTTGATGCTGAAGTGTGCTTGCGGCTTATTGTAGAAGCATCTGGGAGAAGCTGTTAAAGACGCAAAGTTGTGAGGCTTTATGCAATTTATGCAATACAAGATATCTCCAGCCGCACACGTCATCTCTATAAGAAGTTATACTCAGCAAAGACTCCGATCACGCCATTAGGTTTTTCAATGGGACCCATGAGAGGGTAATTTTGAATATACTGTGCCCTTACAACGTGTCAGTCCGAAGAGACTTCTACCCTGCAGTTCTGGATTCAAGCATGAGATTGGATTCCAAAATCCTGAAGGGTGACGGAATTAATCTTGAGATACCGTATACCAGATGTATTTGACATGTACGCACCAGGAACAAAAGAGAGCTAGACATCGTCATATGGACAGCCAAAGAGGGCCTTCCTATCTCTGTCTAGAACTGTGAGCTGAAGATTAAGAGACTAGCATTCAGTTGCTCAAGGTGGTGATCACAGCTGCGGTGACTATGAGACATGCGTGCTACCTGAATATAAAGGCAATAATTGGGGCCACTCAGTATCATACTAGTTGCGCAGCTAGACATTCATCTCCGTAGACCGCGGCATACCTTCCCAGCGCCATCAAGGTAAAGTGAAACTTGTAATTCGGATACCGCATCCCCCCAGGAGGAGCAAACACTCCTTCCAGCGCCCCCGGCAGCCACTCCCCGGTATCCTGCTGCTCCTTCATAAGATACGCCACACCGCGACGAACGGCCTCATGGTCCCCACATCGTGCCGCTAGCAATCCTATCACCGCATAGGCGGTATTGGTCACCTGGCTCCCGTCCGGATGGGGGAGGTACTCCTTGAACCGAACGGTATCCAAGCTCTCACCCCACCCACCGTCGGGATTCTGGTGCTGCAGCAAGAAACTACAAGCCCGCCGGCACGCGGCGCAGTTGGACTCCTCCCGACCCATGCAGGCCAGTCCCTGCAGCGCAAACATGGTCGCATACGTGAAACAGACTCCCCAACTGGCGAACCAGCCACCATTCGGGTACTGAGACCGCAGCAGGTAGTCGACACTCCGGGAAATGCAGGCCTGGATGTCCCGTGCTCGGTAGGTAGGGTACTCCCGGGCGAACGTCGTCAGACTCATGATCACCGAGCTGGTACATTCCGGATACAGATTATCCGTCATGACGTTCTCGTAGAGCTCCGTGATGTTGAGCAGTTCCAGGAACTTTGGCCCCCGCACGGGCTCATAAGCCGAGAACCCGCCACCGGCGTTCTCCATCCCCAGTATCAGATCGATGGCCTGCTGGAGCCGCTCGTCGGAGATGCGCGCGGGGAAGCCCTCGATCCGCTGCAGGAGCACGACAACCTTGACGGCCTCCGCGGTGGTGTCCGACACGGCGTAGGATTGGTCGCGCGTGCTGAAGGGCCAGGCGCCGCGAGTCGGCTGCCGGTAGACGTGGTGCACGCCAAGGGGATCCTCGCGGATCTGCGAGTTGTCGATGAACTCGAGGGCTTTGCGCAGGATGGCCTGGTTTTCGGGCCGCGCGGCCAGTCCGGCGTCGATGGTGGCCTGCACCGTCAACGCCGTATCCCACAGCGAGGTCCCGTTTGTGCCGGAGGCGGCCAGACCCTCGCGGCACAGCCACATCGGGTCGATGAACCGGTCGCGCATGCCCCGGATCCAGTGGCTGTCTCGGCCATGGGCGTGATACAGCGCCAGCATGTTCGAGGCGAAGCTCACGGGAGCGATGCACAGGTAGTGGGTATTGCGGGTTTCCGTTTCGATCTGGAACAGAGCTTCGTTGAGCGCGCGGCGCCGCAGGAAGGGGATCTTGAGGGTCTCGTACGTCGTCAGAGCAGAGGTAAAACTACGTTGGATCCAGGTTGAGTCTGTGAGACGGTCCGCGGCGCTGACGTTGGTGCGCTGCGCTGGCCAGTTGATCTGCTCGTAGGGGATGTCGTAGAGCTCGTCGCGCAGAGCCTGCACGAGTTTGTTGGGCGGCATCGAGAATCGATGGCCGTACAGATAGCTCATGCTGATATAGACATTCCGGGTGTGCACCCACCATTTCCCCGGATTGAAGGGCAAACTTGCAGGCACGAGCAACGGCTCCGGCGGCAGGGGGATCATCCCTTCCCACTCGTACACGCCGAGGACGCACAGCCAGAACTTGCCCCAGGTCGGGGTGGCCCTCGCGCTTCCCAGTCGGAGCAGGGTGTTGCGCGCCCTTGCCATCGCTGGATGCTCCGGCCCCAGCCCCAGGATCCTCAGCATGCAGTAGTTCATCACCGTCCCGAAGACGGTCGACGGGGACTGGATGAACAGGCCCCATCCGCCGTCCTCGTTGACCACATTGAGTAAGTACCGGCACATTTCCTGCTTCATGTGGGAGTCTATCGGGATCCCCACGATGTACCTCGCGATGACCATCCCGCTGGTGACGAACAGGGGGCCGTCATCGTTGCATCCCCAGTGCCCATCGGCTGTCTGCAGGCGCTTGAAGAATTCCCATCCGTTTTCCACGGCCTCCAGGGCTCGGGTAGCGCGAGGCCGCGCAGGGAGTTCATACGGTAGACCCAGCCAGTACTTTTCCAGGAAACTTTGCGGGCGTTTTCTGGCTTTATCATCGGACTCTAGATACTCCCACATGTGCCGGCCGTTGTCGACGTTGAGCCGCCATCGCGATAGATCGGTACCGAATTCGCTGGCGGCTTTGGTGTTGGAGAATTCGGCCTTGCCGATGACTGTCGCAGGCTTACTGCTGTCTGTAGCCATGGTTAAAGGCAAGAGCTCTGTTACTACCTGCTGTGGGCCTTACAGGAAGGACTTTATACTGAACTATCTGTACCGTGGCAAGACTGCAAATAGTCTGTATTACCAGACTCGTCTTTTTAGTTTTCCTTACACTTTGTTTCTTACATTATTTTCAAAAAGAAATAAAAAATAAAAAAATAAATAAAAATAGAAATCTCCGAAACAGGCAGTACGACAAAAACGAGGGGGCGACTCCATTGCCTAAAAGCCGAGCGTTCTGCATGCTCGCCCTTATGCATAAGGAACGCCACTGCGTGCTAAGCAGTTAACTGATTGTAACCTCTAACTCGTCCTGATCATTGGCCAGCTGCTTACGGATTTTAGAAAACAAGGCGTGGAATGCGCCTTTCCCACTTCAGGTTTCTAACATGTGAATCACGGCCATTTGACCAGCAATTCGGTCCACTTCTCTAAACTCGTTACATTACACGAGACTAGCAAGAAAAATACTCTCTAGCGCTTGCTATCACTCGGTCCTCCTGGTAATCACCATCCGGCAGTCCCTCTCCGGCTTGGCCGGGAAGGACGCAATGAAGCACTTGGCGGGCATGAGAACCGGCAGCCCATTCTCATCTGTGCAATGCGGCCCAAATCGGCTATCTTCCGTCAGCGCAATGTCGTAGTCTTTGAGGACGTTGGCGACGATGGTGAGCATTTCCACCCAGGCAAGGTTACGTCCAAGGCAGTTCCGCGGACCATAGGAAAAGGTGAAGAGCAACCGCTTGTTGGTCTCGCCATCGAGGAATCGGTCCGGGTTGAACCGCGCTGGGTCGTCCCAAATACTGGGATGCATACTCGGCGAGCGCAGATTGACGTAGATTTCTGTCCCGGGCGGAATGTAATGTCCCTGCAGGGTGATGCCCGTAGAATGGGAAATGCGCGGAGTCAGTCCGGCCGTGGTGGGCGAGTGCCGGAGAGCCTCGTACACGCAGGCTTCGACGTACGGCAAGCTGCTGCGCACGTCCTTGTAGGTCACCAAGTGGCTCAAGGGGAAGGCGCTGCGGACCTCGTGGACGGCTCGCCTGAGAGTCTCCGGGTAGAGCAGCAGCAGGTGGAACGTCCACATGATGGCGGATGAGGTGGTCTCGCTCCCCGCCAGCATCATCATGATACTCTCGGCCTGCACCTCATGCGGGCTCATCTTGACTTTAGACTCGGGGTCCTCCGCGTCGATAAACGCCTGCAGCATGTCCGAGGGCTTCTCCGCGGAGTCGTCAGCCAGCAACTGCTTGCGCATGTCGACAGCGTCGCTGCTGAACGCCGCCAGCTCGCGATACATGATTTTCCACGGCCGCATGATGAGCGAGAATGGCAGCAGCGACAGCAGGGCCAGGACGACGGGCGACTCCAGCATCTCCATGATCAACCCGGCCCATTTCATGATTGACGAGCTACCGCGGGAGATGGCGTTGAAGTTGCGCCCGAACGCCAGCGCACTCATGATGTCGAACGTCACTAGCTGGGTGTCGGTGCGGTAGTTGACCTCGGTTGGGCGCCCGCTGTTCGCTCCTATTAACGCGTCCCATTTCGTGCGGATGGCCTGGTATCCATGCTGGAGGATCAGAGACTCTGCGCGTCCCAGATAAGCGTAGTTGAAGAAGGGGCCTAGCTGCCGCCGGCGACGGTTGGCCAGCTCTGGCTCTCTGAGCGAGACGATATTGGGTGTGTTGCCGTCGTTGAAGATGTCAAAGAAGGCGGCCTTGCGAAACTCCTGGGAGCCTAGCACGGCGCGGATGTCATCTGGGTGATTGATACAGACCGCACGGGGTTTGTAGACATATACATCGCCGTACCTGGCGACGTCCTTGTCGACGGTCTGGGTCACCTTCCCGGAGAAGGTGTCGACATTGGCGCGTTTGGTGGTCAGTCGGGCCAGAAGG